AAATTATATTGTTGCACATAAAAAGTTCAATGTGACACTACAAATTGTTGTGTTCAAAACACTTAACTGTGTGGTTATATGAACACTAAAGTATTTAAGCTACTTATCATTGATTATAATGTATTAATATAATCAATAGATGTAGATACATTTAAAAATTTGTTTTTAAAGTTTCTAACCAAGTAGCTAAAGTACCATCTAGTGAACCTTTCAGTTTCTAAAGTGCAAATGCTTCTACGAGTGAACCAAAGAGAAAGACATTGACTTTCTGGTTTAAGCAAAGTCTAAAACTTATAAAATTTTTCTTGGAAGTTGTATCCTCTAAGGCTACTAACTTCCTACTGAGAGCAATAAAATACTCTACTAAGTAAAACTTTATGATTTTTTTGTGGAGTAAGTTAAAAACAATGAGTTTTTTGAATTTTAGGCTGATGCATTTGGAAAGAAGAGTTAATCATGGAATGGACTTGACATTGTCTAATGATGTATGTGTCCAAATCGATTGAACTTGAAAGGTTCTAGACTAGTACATTGTAAATGGTTATTCCATTAGTAATATATTGTTAATAGCAAGAGACATCAATAGTATATTTAGACTGGAAGTGTCATGATTGCTTTGTGCTATATGTAAAGTATCATCTTAGTGGTGACTTATACGAAAATGTGTATTTGGAACTTCTTAATGCTTTGTGCTATGAAGTGATAAAAAGATGTGTATACTAGTGAAGTCTTGATTTGATTTTATACAATTGCATGATGGTTTATCTAAGTTACTCTCACATGGTGCATATATGTTGTAAATTGCATATATCAAAAGTTGTGAAAGTATTTAATAGATACATGCTTTTGTATAAATATCTATGCTCAATGCATACAATAATTTAAAAAACGTGCAGTGGATACTAAGAAAAATCCTTTTTGTAAGTTCAAATTAATGAGTCTGGTGAAAGAGGTAATGTCTTAGTCATTATACTGAAGGAAATAGTGGGGGTTTTGTACTTTCTTATTCATATGATGTTAATAAGTTATTAACAAAGTGTCAACATGTAAATATGAAGAAAGTTTGTACTCTCATGATTTTATATGTAACATTTGTGTTAAATATGACAATCCAATTACTAAACTAGAATCTTCTAGTGACGTTGGATGTCTTGTATATGCATTAGAGTTGTGTTAACACATTCTATGTGGCATGTGACTCACTGATTACATTAAGTGCCTAAGTAGCACCATTGCAAATCTAATGCTAAAATTATAATGTGTCTTTAAAAGACTAAGGTTTATGATTTATTAAAACATATTAGATTTATGTTGTTCTTAAAGGTTATTCGAATGCTAGTTGGTATTCTAGCATTAGTGATCATAACCCGTTAGTGGTTAGAAATTCATGCTTGGTAGTGAGAGATGTTTCTTGATAAGTGAAACAGACAATAATCACTCTCTCCAAGAAAAGAAAGCTGAATTTGTTGAACTATCTTCTGTACATAAGAAGGTGAAGTGGCCAAAGGGCCCTGGCCTGTGTCGCATGTAACCTTGTGTTGTGATAGTTAGATTAATACATCTTGAACATTGTGTAAAATTTGACAATGGGTAAATATAGACATATTAATTAAAGATATTTATCTCTTAGTGAGATACAAATGTTGATGTTGTCGGTGTTGTGTTTGTGAAAACACAATTTTGTTATGGATCCATTTACCAAATCTCTTGCGAGAGAATTGGTGTTTTGACAACATGAGGAATGGGAGTAAAATCTCAATACTAAAATCACGAACAATGCAAACCCAACTTTCTTCTAGTACTACCCCTAGATTGCAAGGTTTAAAGGGTAACAACAAGGTTATTTGTGGTTGTGAGCACCAAAATTCGTGTATATCATTCCAAATATTGGTGCATTATATATGTTACCTTAAGTGAGCAGGTTGAGAGAAATCTCTTGATGGAATCTCTTAATGGAATTACTCATGAGCGTTTAATTACTCCTGAGCGTGCATTATTAAGTCTATACTAGACTGATTATTGGTTTAAGCACCGAGCCACCAATAACTTAGCTATTTAGGTGACTTAATTTTACTACGATGTGGTTTAAGATGAAAGTTACCATCTCTTAAGCGTAATTCTCATGATTGCATAATTATTTTATATTACAAACTAAGTGGGGGAATGTTGGAAATTTTAGTTTGTAAAATAAAATAATTAATTTAGAACTTAAGGATAATAATCAAGTTGGCAACCCTTCACTTGTATGGTGGTTATTTCCTACAGGCCAAGGGTTGTGTACTTAATTTGTATTCTTTGTTTCTGCAAGTGTTGCCTATAAATAAGAGAACTAGTGCAGGATTTTGTTCTAACTTTTGCATTCCTAAATTCTTGAGAACATTCAATAATTGCAAGTTGCATGTTCTTGTGTTCTTTATGTCCTAGAGGCAAATTGCCAAACAAACCCGATATTGCAATATGGAGGGGGCAAATATCATCTTAAGGATATTGTCTAACACGATTAGAACACATTCAATCTTGTGATTCTCCCATTATTGTTAGATTCACGTTTCTAACAATAAAGTTCATAAATCTCTCATCTTTACTCTTTAGTGTCTTTTGTGTTGTCTCTTTGATTACCACCCTCATATACTTTCAAATAGTGGCTCGTATCAAATGCTGGAGTTCACGGCATTTGTCGTATGTGGGTAGGCTAGTATTGATTAATTCTGTGTTAATCGCGATGCATGCTTACTGGGGATCTATCTTCATTCTGCCTCAAAGTATAACAAACGAGGTTAATAGGGTTTGTAAAGACTTCTTGTGGGAAAACAGACATGATAAACGTGCTATTGCCTTAGTGAAGTGGGAGGATTTATGTATGGGAAAAGGTGCAGGGGGTTTGGGAGTGAGGGATGCTAAGATATGGAATCGGGCTGCCATTTTGAAGCAAGCTTGGGCTCTAGCTTTGAAGAAGGACACGTTATGGGTAAAGTGGATACACGCTGTTTATATCAAAGATAAGTCTTTCTGGGAGGTTCAAGCTAGTAATGATTCAAGCTGGTCATGGAAGCAAATTCTGAAAATTCGGGATTTAGCCAAGGAGGGTTTTGAAGGTAATTGTTGGAAGGCGAGTAGCGATGGAAGATACTCTATTTCAGGGGGGTATAAATGGATGGTAAACTCAGGGGAACGTATGAAGGGGGCCAGTTGTATTTGGTCTAGCAGAAATCTCCCTAAACACTCATTTCTGTTCTGGCTGGCATGGCGGAAGCGTTTGCTGACCAGAGATAGATTGAATATGATGCAGCTGTATGTGCCTGATCTGTGTTGCTTATTGTGTTTGACTGTGAGACCACGGACCACTTGTTTTTTCAGTGTAGCTGCTCTAAAGATTTATTGTGTAAGATGAGACAGTGGCTGGGGTGTAAAAGAATTGCTGAAGTTTCTGAAAGATGGAAAAAGCAGCTGGTTGGTTTGTGGCAGGGTAACAAAATGAAGAAGAAGGTGCTGAGGGCAGTGGTAGCTGCCTGTGTTTATCACATCTGGGAAGAGCGGAACAGAATTTTTCATCAGCAAGTTCAAAGAGGAACTGAAGCAATTATTCAGGTGATCAAACAGGAGATTAAATGCCGTTTTTACTGCTGGAAAGGGAAGAGAATGACTGAGAAAGAATCACAGATATTACATGAATTGTTTTATCAATAGAAAGTCTGGGGAGCTGTTTCCAGTTAGCAAAGGATGAGTCTCATTAGTTTTTACTGTAACAGTGTGTATGCACACTTGAGTTTTTGGAGACTAAATGTAATAGATGTGTAAATAGCAGCTTTGTACAGGAGTAGATAGTTTCTGAAAGCAAAGTAGAGATGATGTTTTTTAGCAGAGACTTTTTTGTACTTTTTGGTGTTCACATCAATATAATGATTTACCTTTTCACCAAAAAAAAAAACTAATAAAGGATTAAAAGTTTAGCACCGAAATAGTGAAAGAGATTATTCCATTATTTTATATATAAAAGATAAAAGAGCAATCGCTCTTTACATGTCTGGACAATTTTATTAATTAACTTATATGGTGTTTTATAATTATTATTATTATGTAATAATGAAAGGAAGTTTGTAGTTTATTCAAATTATAGTTAGAACTCTATAAATTAATAGTGTTTCATCCACAAAAATTTATTAACTTATAAAAATTATTATTTTATTGATAAATTAATAATTTGAAAAGAAATTTTCGATTCTATTAGAAAACAAATAATCTACTTCGACCTTACTTCCCATATGTATTTGTGATTCTTTTTTTGGTACAGACTTTCAATTTTACGAATAGTTGGTTTAAATTCCTCCGTAAACAACACATAGGAATTGAAAACTCTACCTTTTATATGTAGCCTCATTTTTATTTGAGATTTGGCGTACAAAACAAGAGAGAATGAATTTTGTAAATGGATCAATCTCAAATAAAAGTTGAAAGACGCAGTTAATTAGTACATAGAAACATTGTACTCCATCGTTTAACTTTTAGAAACTAAGCAGGAGTAGTTGAACTCCACAAATTTAGACAAATGCTCCAGACAATGAAACTAGAAACTAATCAATTTGTTTGATTCCTCTGGATCCTAATTCAGCAAACTGATTATTTCCTGCCCGAAACTAAATCCCGGAAAAAATTGATTTTCTAATTCTGATTCACATTATTGCAAACTTATTCTATATACATATTTAGAAAAGAAGGTAATTACATACTCCCTCGGTCCAAAATCATTGTCATCGTTTGAACTTTTACTTTTACTTCAATTTGTAATGAAAATGAAAATTTAAATTGAATAGTAATCTTGAGAGGCGAAAGGAGTATGATTACACCATCGTCATAGTCACTTCTCTCAAAACTTCATTTCATCCTTTTGGTATGCAATTCTCATTGTTAACTTGCGCAATCTTCAAGAGCTATTGGGAGGAAAATCCAAGTGAGAAAAAATAGTTATTACTCACGAAGAAAATCATCATGCAGTAGAATGGTTACAATCCAAACTTAAGCTCAGAAAAATTTTTGTTAGATTTCACCTTCAAATCTACTTGACCTTCTGTCACATCTAACAATATTAGCTGACTTCTCAATCTTTTGAGTGCTGAAAGAACATCGTGGATGTTCATTCTTGAACCGGGTAATGGTGCCGTACATTGCAATGCAAGTTCCATAATAGATGACACACATTTCATTTTGGCCTCAAGATTTGCTTCCTCTGGTTCTAACAAGTTGCTGTCTATAACCTGCAGAATTCCGTCTGGAAATGAATCTTTTATCCAACCCCTCAAAGTTATGTCACCTGTAAACATGTCATCAATTGGTCTCCTTCTGGTAAATGTCTCCATCAACATGATTCCATAACTGTAGACATCGCATTTGGTTGAAACTAACCCTTCAGTTCCATATTCTGCAACAAATTTTAGCCATTCATAAACGCTTCTTTTGATAAGAGAGAAGATAAACTAAGCTTTTGAATAAGGTCTTACCGGGTGCAATGTATCCCATTGTTCCAATAGCTTTTGTGTGTACATTTCCATCTCTTGCACCTAAAACTTTTGCATTGCCAAAATCACACAGATGGCCAACCATATCTTCATCAAGCACTACATTTCCCGGCTTTACATCGCAGTGCACCACTGTCGAGTAATAATCATTATGGAGATAGTCCAGCGCAGATGCCACATCGATCATTATGTCCAACCGTTGCAAAATGCTTAGACAGTAGTTATGAGAATATAACCGTCTGTCGAGGCTTCCATTTGGCATGTAATCCAGCACTAGCGCTCCAAAATTTAGGTCCCATGCGGCGCTGTTTGTGATGAAGTGAATCAGATTGCGATGGCGAAGGCTGTTTAGTAGATGACTTTCTGTATGGAAAGTCTTAAGAGTTCGGGGGGTTTTGAAGATGAATACTTTCACTGCTACATGTGTACCATCACTGAGTATACCTTGGTAGATGGAGCTAGAACTTCCCTGAGAAATCAAGTTACCTTCACTGAATCCACTGGTTATGATTTGAACCTCATGATAAGAAATCCCTAGGAAATTTAGTGAAGGTGATATAGCATTGTCAAGGTCAACTCTTTTACTAATTCTACATCTCATCAACATGAATGCAGAACAGATTGATATAATTACTAATGGAATAATAACCCAAAGGATAGGAGTAATGCTCGATCGCAATCTTTTGTTGGCTTGAGTTATCGTACAAGGTGGTACGCCAAACCGAGGATCACCACAAAGTGCAGCATTTGATATGAAAGATGAAGCTGTGAAGTTTTTGAATGGACCTTCACAGGGGATTTTTCCGCTTAATCGATTGAAGGAGATATTGAACATCTTGAGGTAGACAAGAGCCTCCAGGGACTTCGGAATTACACCAGTTAGCTTGTTATTAGACAAGTCTAACATTTCCAAACTTATGGCTTGATCAAATGAATCAGGAATAGATCCGTCTAGTTGATTTTCAGCAAAAGAAAGTTGAAGCAAGTTCTGCAGTTTTCCAACAGTGACAGGAATGTTTCCAAGAAATTTATTCTGGGAGAAATCTATGTTTATTATAGCCTGAAGACTTCCTATTTCAGGAGGAATGGAGCCGCTGAGTGAATTTGAGGATGCAGTGACCATGAGTAGATCATTCAATGTCCATAAACTTGGTGGCAATCTAGAGCTGACATAGTTTGAATCTAGGTGAAGATATCTCAGAGAAGTATTGTTTCCTATGCATGAAGGTAAAATCCCTGAGATTCGATTAAAACTCAAATCGATGAGGCCAAGGTTTAGCAAGTTGCAAATTGTATCTGGAATTGATCCTTCTAGTTGATTGTGCTGCAGGGACAACTCCTGAATACTTCGTAAACTGCCAACTGTTTTTGGAATGGGTCCGGTTAAGTCATTGTTACATAAATTTAACCAAGAGATTGAAGTCAGGTTACCAATTTCTGCTGGAAGGACACCACTGATTTCACTTCCACGGGCATCAAAATGTTTGAGATGGGTGGACAGGTTACCGATGGAAGCTGGGAGGACTAATGGCGAAAACAGATTTAGACCAAATGAAAGATATGTCAGGTTTCTGCAATATGTCAAGGGAGTTATAAGGCTCAATTCTGAAGACATAGATTTGATCTTCAGATTGTTATCCTGTAGGCCGAGAATTTCTAGGGATCTTAGATTTTCGAGCATTTCAGGTATAAATCCAGTGAAACTGTTGCTAGCAAGAGACAGAACTGTGAGTCTTGAAACATTTGAGATTGTTGGGGGAATAGTTCCGCTTAGGTTGTTATATCCTACATTAAGGTTTTGAAGATTCGGAATGACTTGCCCTAGGTTTGGAGGAAGGTTACCTGACAGATCGTTTAATGCGCAAAGAAGGAATTTCAGTGTTGTAATGTTGAAAATACTCTCAGGAATAGAGCCACTTAACGAATTTTTGTATGCTGAGAACACTTCTAATCTTTGTAGGTTTCCAATCTCAGCTGGAATTGACCCTGTAAAAAATTTTTTATCCATGACAATCCAGAAATGATACACATTGTCAAGCTTTAGACAAGAAATGCCATTTTCTGGTGCAGAAACACGATTTACAGTGAGACATGCGACAAGATCATCATTAACTGTTGCATTATATATAGTAATATTGCAGCAAAATTATCACAGGTAATCCTGATACGAACTGGAAATGCGAAGTAGAGGAATTGAATTTTTCTATGATGAGCTGGAAATAAATGTACCTGTCAATTTGTTGTCAGCAAGCATTAAGGTTTCCAACGAACTTAAGTTCCCAATTTCCCGAGGTATAACTCCTGTAAATGCATTGTATGACAAGGACAGAAACTCCAACTGGGAGCATTGTCCCAAACTTGCAGGAATTGAGCCGCCAAACTGATTCTGGGAAATGTATAGTCCTTTAAGCATAGGTAGCTTGAAGCCGATATCTGGCGGAAGGTTTCCAGAAAGATTGTTCCCTGTAAATGCCATTTGCTCTAACCATGACAGATTAAATACACCTGCAGGTACGGGACCATTAAGCTGGTTGTATTCGAGGTCTAATTCCCTTAAGAAACGAAGATCACCAATTCCCTCAGGAATGCTACCCGTCAATTCGTTGTAATCAAGAATCAAGAATCGAAGATTCAACAAGGTGCCGAAGATTGATGGTGGAATCGCACCGCTGAGGTTGTTATGACTTAGGTCAAGATACTCGAGTTTGCGCAACTGAGCTAACTCTTCAGGCAAATTTCCATGGAAAAAGTTCCTGCTCAAATCAAGAAAAAAGAGAGAAGATAGATTCCCAATATCAGGAGGAATGCTACCAATGAGATTCATACTAGAAATATCAAGGCTAGTCACTCTCTTAGAGGAAGAGCTACAAAGAACACCAATCCAGGTGCAGACAGGTGATTCTGCAGTCCAGTTCTTTTCCAGAAAAGCACTGTTAGAGCCAGAAGAAATACGTGACTTCAGGGCTAGCAATGCAGATTGATCATCGTCATTCGCGCTGATTGTCGAAGCGTATGCAGTAAAAACATCGGCAAACAACAACATAAATGTAGCTGAACCAAAGAGAATGCTAAACTTGCCCATAAAAGTACTGAAATCTAGGAAAGTAATAAGATAGATAAAGAAAAATTTATTTTTACCTTCTATATATATACATATCCCTGATTCAAGATACGTTTTGCTAGTTTCTTGTTCAACATTGTAAGCTCTGATGACTACTAGTACTGGGAAAAGGTTAAACACAAACATCCAAATTCTAAAATGTTTATACTTGTATATGTTCATCCTTTTGTGTTCCTCCTATTCATTGTTTTGGCGTGATGCTTTTAGTCAACTAACCTAAAACGGTATCATCAGGCGGCTCAGGTAAATTGCTATGAATCTTCATTTGGATCAGATGCCTACTCAATCACCTAGGAGTTGTCTTTTACAGAGCTTGGAAGATTACAATATATATATATATATATATATATATATATATATATATATACTAAATAAAAATAGCAACAGTACATGAGCACAAGTGCAACCTAGTATCAAGTTCAAGTATCAACGTAGAGAATTATTAATCAAGTTTCCTTGATTATCGGTGGAACAAGTGAATCAAATCAAAATCAAAAAGATTTCATTCACTTTGCAAAACTATTTCCATTTTTACATCAAATCGAGGATAAAAACACAAATTCCCTATCTAGTTCGTGTCTACAAATGTATTTTGATTGCCCACTTAAATTTCATGGAACTGTGTTTTCGGGTGTGCTATCATATATTTTCATGTTATATCGGAATTGTATACTCTAGTAGTAACATAGTCTGTATATTATTTATTAAACACGATGAAAATGATGCTTGTGTCAATCACCAGATTAACTGATCATTTGAATAAGCTCCTTTATTATCAATCTTATTAATTTGCCTTTTTTTGGGGGGGGAGGGGGATTAAAAAATAAAGGGTGATAATATTGCCAGAGCATAAATTAGCATTCAGAGCAAATTATGTGTTTTTTTCCTAGACTGCCGTCCCTTCCCTTACTTAATCATGTTTTTTTTTTTTTTTTTTTTTTTGCTATCAAAGGTCATTTCCGTTTATTAATTTTGCATGTTAACTGAATAAGCCCGCCAAATAGGGGATTTTATTTGTGTTTATTTGCATCCTCATTATGAACCAGCTGAATTAGCACTGAAATTTAACTTCCTCTACACCAATAATAAGAATTTTATAAAACATGATTCTGAATTTTTATTGTGAACAAATTACCATAACAGTTTAGCTGAGCCGCCTACAAATACCGTTAGTTGCTTTGAATATTGTAGTAGTATGTGTAATAACATTACAAATTATTGGTGGAATTTTTCCCAATTGAAAGGGAAAAAAAAAAAAAACTTATTATTGCTTATATGAAAATAAATACAACCATAATATCTACAAATACGAAAAGTTAAAAGAAATTAATCGAGAGCATTTGGACCAAAGCATCGATTCCTGGCAGGATTCCAAACCCACTGCACAAGAAATCTTCGGCCATTTATCCCATTCACATTATACCCATTCCCCCATCCATCCTTCGACACAACTCCCACGAATCCTCCCCCGCCGCCGGTCCCGTAAACCCCCAGACACAAGTCCGCTATCTCCGTCGGCGCCGTCGGGTCATCTCCGGCGTACCACGCATTCACCAGCGGGTTACTCGAAACCTCCGCCAACTCATGAGCAATCACACTGATCATCCCGTCCACTCCCGGGTCCCCGTTCGGCGGACCCATCAAATCGTCCCTTCCTCCGTTCCCTCCCGGCGGCGGCTTGCCGGAATAATTCGGCCAGGCAAAAGGGTAAGCGCACATTCCGGGACACTGGGTCCCGCTGTACCCCACCCACGCGTAAGGCACGGTGACCCCGACAACCGAAGGGAATGTGAAATAATGGAACCCACAAACTGCTCGACAAAAGTCCTGAACAGAAACATCATGAGATGTGAGAATTAGGTAGAGCCCATTTCGGAAATTCAGCGGTAAATTGTTGCTGTTGCGGTTGGAATTCGAACCGTACAATGCTGTCTTGATGACGGATTGCATTGATAAACGGGTGAGGAACTTGCCGTGAGTGTATCTGTTGTCGAAGAATTCGCCGGAGAGGGAAATGCTTCCGGTGATGTTGGAATTCGTTTGGTCGGTGTAGAGGCGGACAACTTGCCACCAATCGGCGACGGAAGGATGTGGGGCGGTGGTGGCAGGGGAGAAGGAGTAAATGAAGTCTCTGATTGTGGATTGATGAGAAGGGTTCCAATGGCCATACCAAATGATGTAAAGGTTGATTGGATTTGCAAGAACAGGACCCATGTGATACTGAAGGTCTACAAGGTTAGAAGAACCTTCATAGTTTTTCCCTTCATTGAAATCTTGCCCAAAAGGGAAATAAGCCTTGGAATGAAAGGAAAGTAGTAAGAATTGGAACTGAAAGAGGAGGAATTTTGACATCTTCCAGTTCTCCATATTTTGTTGTGGAAGTTGGAAGTTTGATGTTGTTGAAGACCTGAAAGAAGCTATTTATGGCTGGCTCTGGTTATTGGTAGTGAACAGTGAACTAGCACGTCACCTAAAAGGCAAAAAGATATTCTAAAGTTAGTTGCACTCATATCATATTAGTCGGCAGTACCATCAGTCCAATCAAGAATATTTGAAGTTCGTATATTTGAATTTTTATATGTAGTTGTGTATATACGTCGAGATAAATTTAGCAACAGATTTTTTTATCAGTGTTAAATGTTTGGCTCGTACGTGACACATCAGTGACTAGATGAAACGTGAAAACGTAAGAAATTTGCAGTTTATCGTAATGATAATAGGTTGAGTCTTATTTGTGTATAAATATATTTGTCATGATATAATCTTGTTAGCATAATTCATCTAAAAAAAATTGTAATATATTTTTGTAACACTCTATAATCTATGCATTGTTGTTATATAATTATAAAGGGTAGCTGAATAGTGGTTGTCAGTGATTACCTGATGGGGTGGCGGATTGATTGGTAAAAATTTTAAAAAAATATGGGTGTTGGATTCTTCTTCTATTCTTACTACTTTTTGTAAGGGGGACCAAGGTCAAACATGTTAACATGATTGAATTTTGATCATAATGCATGTGCATGTTCTTCCACTTTTAGTGAGTTCTAGTTCAGCCTTTCTCTTTAATTTCTTACTAGTATTCAAAGATATCTAATTCGGAGGAATAAGTCTAACCAATGTATATTATGTGCCTCTCCCTTTCTTTGAGGCAGCGTGGATTTCTCCAAGATAAACACTTGTTTGCATTCTACTTCAATTTTATTTTAGGGTATGTGTTCCACAATTATAGCCCTTCGTAATTAAACAACGAAGCACCCAATTGACTAATGTGCATACGTATTGTTGAAATGTTCAAACTTGAAACCTTGCTAGTAAAATACTAGCTACTACTGCTACTACCTAAGTTAAGATCAGTTTCCTAGCCGGTTCATGGTTTTTTCCCCTTTTTTTTTTTTTTTTCGAAGAGGATATTCATCATTTATAACTATCAAAGAATAACAAATCACAATTGCAATGAGATATTACAATCAATGTTTAACGCTTCATCTAGCCATAAAGAAGTATTAAAATCCCAACATTGTACGCACGTTCTAGATAAATTAGATCAATTCAGCAAAATTTTGACATGATGTTTCATTGTTTCCGAATATAAAAAAAACTTATATTTTACACTTTACTGAGCAAGTTTTACTAAGACATGTCTTTGATTATGATTCTTACATCCGAGATGGGGGCCAATACTCCTTTTTTCACTTCAAAGACTTAAATTTTTTTATTGTTGGACAATAATGATTTCTGACTAGATATAAAATATCCGAGTTGATAAAAAAAAATAGAAAGAATAAAAGAAAAATAAAAATTTAAAAGCATTACACTACGAATTCGAAACAATGAGTGTAGAAACTGATATCAATACGGATGAGGTTTGGATTCATTTGTACGTGTAAAGTAGTCGTTACTTTCGTCTACGCTGTTCACTAACTCAACTACTACGAAGTACGAACCTTGAGAGTTCTCTATTTTCTACATTTGATGAATGATTATTCTTTAATTTTCTACTATTTGCATAAAATAAGGGGGTGGATTTTTGAAGCCACCCACTTTAGTAGTCAAAGCCACCAAAAAAATTTTGGACCATTTTACTCCTGTCATTTAATAATATTTATATTTTAATGGTGAAACTCTTGATTTTATATTTATTTAAAAATAAACAAGTAATTAATTTTTACTTGAAAACAAATTCAAGATTATTCGTTAAGTTAATTTAATTGAATTGATATTAAAATATAAATTTTACTTCAATCATTATTTTAAAGATAATTTTTAGTTAAAATAATAATTATACATTTATAGTGAAAAATTATAATTGTACTACAAAAATTGTGATAAATATATGCAAATAGATTAACTATTTTTTGTAATACAAAGATTGGTGATACTTAATGTAACTCAAATAATAAATTATTCATAAATTTAATAACCTAAAAAGTAGATTAACTAATTACGAAAAAAAATCTAAAATTTTAAAAATGAAAAAAAAAAACCCGGCCGACCGAGCGGTTCACCCGTCCCGGGTTAACCGGGGACGCGCAAGGAACGCGTCCTCTTGTTCGTCTGAACGCGTTCATTGATCGTCCCGAGTTAACCCAGGACGCGCAATGAACGCGTTCGGGCGAACAAGAGGACGCGTTCCTTGCGCGTCCCCGGTTAAACTGGGATGGGTGGACCGCCCGGTCGGCCGGTTTTTTTTTTCAAATTTTTTAAAATTTTAGATTTTTTTTTGTAATTAGTTAATCAGGTTTTTAGGTCATTAAATTATGAATAATTTATTATTCAAGTTATTTTAATCAAGTTATTTGATTTGAAAAAATAATAAGGGCAAAATGGTCCAAATTTAAAAGTGGTGGATTCAAGTAGCAATCTTGGTGGCTTGAAAAATAAACACCCACTAAAATATTTGTTTTGTTTTGGGAAGCTTCATCACGCAAGCATGTATTATACACACAAAACAAAAACATACGGGACTACAAGTATCATTTGACATTCTAACATACTTCTATGAGGCGAAGTCCTAAAACCGACCTGTTTATTGAATCCTACATTGGCTCATATATTTAAGGTCAAAGGTCTCCCAAAAACTTTACTCTTTTTTTTTTTCTTGAAATAATTGTCCAATTAATTTTTAGAAGAAAAAAAAAATATTACCTTGATTTTCACCTTGGCCAAGAAGGCAAGAAGGACTAAATACTTAAATAGTGATACTTCTTTAATTCGAAGCCAAAAAAAAAAAACATATATATACCTTTATAATAGTTACCATCAAGGACTATTCTATTCAATCTACACGTCCAAAAAAAAACAAAAAAAAAAAGAAAAGAAAAAATAACAGCATGTGCATTTCCAAATTAATGCAATCCAAAGCTAAAGCAAATGGGAGAATGGACGGGGCAAAATTTGGAAAGTATTTGGTCAAATATCAGTTCAAGTTACGTAATGATGTCTATTTCCTAGAATAGTGTGGTAAAATAAAGCTTTAAAAAAAAAACCCAATTGGGACGACCAACTTTTTCACAATGCTCCTTTTTTTTTTGGATTGCAATCAATCAATGAGAAAAGGACCTTTTTCAAAATCTTTGACTATAATGCAGAGTTCCAGCCCTTGCTCATATCTCTTAAACAGATACTCCCTTTGTCCTAAAATTATTATTCAATTTGAGATTTCACTTTTAATACAATTTAAACTAGAAATGAAAACTCAAACTGGACAATAATTATGAGAGGGAGGGAGTAATCGTTTAATTGTCGAGATTGTGTTCCGAAAGTTTGATCTTTTTGCGAGAACGCAAAAGATGAGAGAAGGGAAAGGAATGTAGATTATGAGAAATTGTAAAATGCATAATATGGTTTTAGTTTTACTCCAGATTAATAATACTTAAAAGTTACATAAAATAACTTGAGACAGTGTGTTACTTATCAAGGGTTAAAAAAATTTTATTTAGACATCTCACCAGTGGTCAAAATTGCATAGTTAAAAAGTGAGCTAGGGTAAGAAATTAACTCGAAAATTGAAATATAATCTAAGATAATTGGTAAAACATCCAAACCAATTATGTGGAATTAAGGAAGACCAGGGTAGTCTCTAGCTAGTGTTGAGCAAAATAAAAAGCGATACTCTCCGTCCATCTCGCGCAAATCGTCTAATTCGTAACTATAATTTCTTTTAACAAAATAAACTAATGAGTACAGTACTACAACAAAAGGCAGAAGAAGTAGATAGAGTGCAGATTAGCAAAAGCGGCGCTAAATGTAAATAGAGAGCAATATGTTTTGATGTCATGCATCCCGAGGGTTGTATCATTACCACTAGAGAAAAACGATGCTAGTGTACAATGGTATATTTTATTTCGTTTTTTTAGTGTGTGATTTTGGGTGTTTTTTATATTGAGAATATAAAAAATATATCGAAAATGTAAAAAGGTATATTGAGATGGAACAGTTATTATTTTAATATTATAAAAATACCATAAAAAAGCCTAACAAACAAAGCATTAAATATGTTGCTCCTAACTATTTACCAAAAGAATGACAGAAGAAGTACCCGACAAAAATCAAAAGTACTAGTTCTGCTGTGGTTGTCTTTGTTCTCTGAATTCAAAGATCGAACCTCTATAGGCGGCTCAAGCAACAGTAATTTATATTCGTCACCTCCGATGTTTAATTAGTCGTCATTGTTTACTAGATAGACATTAATAGGTTTTGTTTGTTTTCTTTTCTTGATGGTATCTTCAGATTAATAGTATATTAATAAGTGTTCCATTCCAATATATTTTTTTACATTTCCACTACAAAAAGCACCTAAAACACATCGTTACAAAAACAAACAAACAAAAATTTTTGTCCACATCCCACATTTAGTCAGTTGTCAATCAGAGTTTTGCATCCTCAACATAGAAATTAATAAGCTCGCCGATGATGAATTCATGAGTGCAGAAAAGCGTCACTTGTGTCCTCTTCGGGTCTCTGAAAAATACGTCGATCACGACCGGACTTTGCATTAATAGATAAGGATGATGAAACAACAGTTAAAACAATACAAAAACCAAACTGTGATGTGAGACTTTTATGAAACCACTATAAATTACTCGAGATGTGAGACTATTAGATAAAGACTGATGATTACTCTTCCAGGTCCAAATATAATCTTTCACAACAATTGTACTTGAATTCTCTTTTGACAATTGTATCCTTCCATTGTCCAGCTTTCAACTTAGCTTCTTTTTTTTTGAAGATCTACTTGAAATTTTGGGCACAAAGTACTATATCCCGATGGCCAAAATGTTCTTCGGTCAACTTTGTTTAACCAATTTCTAAATTCTAACCTCGATGTTTATCTTTCAACGCTATGATTGTGACATAAACAAATTTAGTTAGTTGTGACATTATTGAATTTGTGTAATCAAATGGAATCTTTCTTCATGTTCTAAGGTAGTATTACCAATAAACAAATTTTACATACTATATTGGTAAAGATTTTCTATAACACCTTTTGGATTACGCATCTTATAATATTACTCCCTAAAATCGAACACTACAGATTGTTCTCTATGTTCAATCCAGAAAATGTTTATAATTTCTATATAAAAAAAAATAGTTCGCTTTATAAAATAAAAATACTAGGATAATATATATTACTTTAAAAATAGTTTATACAAAATGTAAAATTCAAAATTTAATGTAATATTTATATAAATTTTAAAATTTAATATGAACTATTTTTTTTTTTCAAACAGAAGTAGTATTTTATTTAAGCACGGATTGCCAGCAAGTTTGGTCACGAGAAGGTAGGAAAAAATTGAAAACTATTTTCAATAAATAAATGGCATCCGAGCCACTGCGCCAAACTATAAAAATGGAATAAAAAATAAAGGCCCACAAGATTTTGCAGTGTTCATTTTTAGAAAAAAAAAAAAAAAAGTTACAAAATACTAGAAGGGAGATATTGTGATGGGTGCATGCGCATGGGTTCCATTTCCAAAATCCAAACTTTCTTCCTAAGAGCAGCAAATCACAAACACCCTTCTTCTTTCCGTCCTGGATTTTGCTTCAAGGTAATCCCTCCAAACTTGTTTCCCCGATAAAAGTGATGATATTTTTTTTTTCCCGTTTGGAATTAGAGTTACTCCTTTAGTGATTTTTTTTAATCAAGATTGAAACTTGATGTCGGTATCAGTCGGATCAATGAATTTCTGGTTTACGGGTTCTTTGCCTAATTCTTGAGGGTATGTAAAGTAGAGGAACGCAAAATGGAGAAGATCATTCATTCATTTTGTACCTTGATATTTACTGTTTCATTGAGGCTGAATTGAGAAGTCCCCTTTGATTTAGTAATTGGGATGCCTTATTTTAGTTTATGGGGGCAATTGTTCTTGTTTTGTTTTCGCATCATTGAATTTACAGCTGAATTTTTCTGAATCAGACCATTCATTAGTATTGTGCAATGATGCTGAAGAGTACCCATAATTTTCCTTCTTGTAAGCTTTATTTTAAGCTCCTGTAAGGTGGATTTGTTGCTTCTTATTATCACTATAATGTTTTAAAAATTAAGCATCTACCAGTTTAGTCCGATACGATTTGATGAACGACGCTGCTGAGCTGTTTGGAAATTTTTTTAATGCAAAATCTGCGATCCTAATTTGAGCTATGTTTTGTGCTTTCCTTTTACTTTTTGTCAACTTTTTTCTGGCCATGAGTGTGAGATGCTTATTAGATCAATTGAGTGACGCCTTCTGAGTTAAGTCTTTCTGATGTGTATCAGAACTATAGACTCTGTCCTCCCTGAAGCTGAAGCTGGAAAATGTTTTTAAGAGATTTGTGTTTTTGAAATTTTGTTCTGGTGATAGTTTGATGTGATTACATATGTGATCGGATAACTTTGGAGAATAATGAATTGACAGCTGAGAGCTGTATGTTGTCTTACCTTTGATGTTAGCTACCTATATATTTTAAAATATGATGTTTGCTTTTTGATTTTAAGAGAGATTTGAATTAGTAGCAAACAAATAATTTAGTGCCATCTTTGTTAGATTTGGGTCATGACTTGAGATGCTGTTATTGGTTTCCACTTGTACTAGATTGGTTGAAAGAATGTGTTCACCAATACCATGTCTGAATCAATTGAATGAATTTGTAAGTTTTATTAGTGGGATGATGCTTTGTAATATTGCTTGATGCTGATTATGATGTCTGACATCAATACTGCAGCACACTATACGAATGGCTCGTTCTTCTCTAGACGAGATGTCAGCTTCCGGTGCATTTGTTAGAACTCCTTCAACCTTCCGCAATTTGATCTCACGAGATCCAAACTCACCTTTTCCCGCAGAAGCTGGAAGGTATCACCTTTACGTATCATATGCTTGCCCATGGGCATCAAGGTGCACTGCTTACATAAAAATCAAAGGACTGGACAAAGTCATTAGTTATACTGTAAGTAATTCTATTTGTTTTTACAAATTTAAAGTCATTATCAAGATTGAAATTGAAATAATTTCTCGAATGCATCAGTCTGTCAAACCCAAGTGGGAAAGGACAAAGGAGGACACTGATGAACACATGGGATGGGTTTTCCCAGCCTCAAATACCGAAGAAGCAGGTGCAGATCCCGATCCTTTCAATGGAGCTCGAAGTGTCAGAGAACTTTATGAGTTTGCAAGCTCTAACTATTCTGGCAAATACACAGTTCCTGTATGTTTGGTCTTTTGACGTGCCTTTCTATATTCAAACTGATTTCACTTGAAAATCTCGCTCAGGAAATATGTTTCTGTTTTCTGTTAGGTTCTTTGGGATAAGAAACTGAACACCATTGTCAATAATGAGAGTTCAGAGATAATCAGGATGTTGAACACGGAGTTCAACGATCTAGCTGAGAACCCAGCATTGGACCTCTACCCTTCCCACTTGCAAGCTCAAATAAATGAGATAAATGAGTGGATATATGATGATATTAACAATGGTGTTTATAAGTGTGGATTTGCTAAGAAGCAAGAACCTTATGATGCGGTGAGGAAGAATGGCATATTCTGTTGTATCCAAATGGATGACTTTGTTTTGTCTTCATGTGTCAGCATTTCTAATGATTGTTGATTTCATAACAAACCATCATTTTATTTTGGCATGTATTTGTAGGCTGTCAAGAAATTATATGAATCTTTGGACAAATGTGAGGAAATTCTCAGCAAGCAACGGTACCTTTGTGGTGAAACAATAACTGAAGCAGATATTCGGCTGTTTGTCACCCTTATAAGGTTTGATGAGGTAAGGATCTTCCATTTGAATACACCTCTGTTATTTTTGCATTTGCAAAAGTGGCATCTTTTTACAGGATACTTAACTTTGATCAATGTATCTTTAGAACTCAACCCATCTTTAGTTTGACATTTACTTCTGATTGGCACTTTTTTTTTCTTTTTTTTTGAGTAAAGAAATCTGAAGGAACATTGAAGAATGTATTGTTTTAACTATAACTAATATTTATTAATGTCAATATTAGTCATTCAAGTGAGCCACGCTTCAGAAATGAGATTGACTTACTTCATTGTTGGGGAACAGATCTACAGATATCCATTTTTTTATGACTTAAGATGGTTATTTAGTGGGTGCCTGTTATGGGGGTGTGAAATTTTGTGTATGGGTTTCATATTCTTCTCACATGCCTGCTTCACTTCTATCAAACCCAAATGGCCCACTAAAAAGGATTTCAATCCCACATATCCATTCCTAACACATTAGATGGGTATGAGTTCCAACTTTTTTTTTCCCAACATTTTACCCCTCTTTTCATTTCTCATTTTTTTAGTTCGCTTCTTTTCCTGCATCTAATTCTAACCACCATCACCACCATTGTTCACCCCTTCCACCGGCCATCTCCTCCACCAAAACCTCTCACACTCACAACTCCATCATTTCCAAGACCAACAAAATCATATAACTTGTTATAAAAAAAAAAAAAAAGCCATATCCCAACTCATTAGAGGTGAATCTCCCAAGTTGCATCTGGCCCCATTTCTCTCCCTCCATCTCTGTTCAGATGTTAGTCTCCTAGACACAGTTAGTTAGTTGGTTGTTCCTCATCAATGTCTATTGTTAATTAGCTTTTTAGATCGATGTTATCAATTACCAGTTGAAACTTGAAAGATTGATTCCGCAATTGAATTGTTTTAATTGAGCCGGAATTATTTTGGGGTTATTTTGACCATTATAGTGGCTGGACAAAATTTGAATTTCAGTTGAATCCCATTACAAATAAAATTGTAACCAAGCATATTGATTCAATCCCATTTTGATTCATTCCATTCCCATCCATTCCCATCCGCTCTATTGGTGAACTAGGCATCACCTAAGTCAAGTTTTCTCTGGAATCCATATCCATTTTTAGAAAAATGTACAGTTGTAGCCACTATGTTTATAGAATTGCTCATCATTTAACATTTATATGCTGGTTGATGAAATCGGTTAATTCTTACTGTTTCGTATTCTTCATTAACACAAGGCAGTTTAAACTAACAACTTTGTCAGTTCATTTTCTACTGTTGATTAATGGAGATGTTCCATATCAGTATGCATGCTTAAGTAGTGTCTTCTGTGTGCGTTGAGATAATTTATTGATAAATGGCACAAGAATATATGGGACAAGTGGGAAATTTAATTCTGTCTTTTTTACTTGGATACATATCTATCTTTCAGATACCGTGGTTAGATAATTCTGGGCTGCTCTTGGGACTAGTTATTAGGATAGAAAGTAAACTGATGCCAAATGGGTTGGTCATTCTATTACTTAGAATAGGCTTTTGATCTCTTTTAGGTAATACAGCTGCATCCAAATCCCCCATTTGTGTATTGCAATTATTATTCTTTTGTTCTTTAGATTAAGATCACCTGAAAATTTGACTTAATGGGTTCTTTGATGTAGAAAACAAAAATGTGGTGATTGGAATTGTGCAAGTTGATAATTTGAGTGCGCATTTGTTACGAAAGAAAATTTTGGTGAAATTATAAACTGAAAAATTCAGTGTATGCTCAAATGTAAACATGAAAGTTGTAACCAGTGCTGTGAGCATTATGGACTTGGTTATGTGGAATGAAGTAAAATGATGCAGGTTGGTTCGTATATTTTTGTGAGGAACACATGGACTGCCATTATATGCAAGAAGTTTCTTTTGAACTAATAGATTATGTTAGTTATGGATCAATTGACTGACTATATGCCAAAAAATTGGAAGGTTTAAGAGAGTGATTTGTATGTGATGATTCAGAATCACTAAGATATGTTTGCTCCGAATTCTGTGATAATCTGCGGAAAGTGAGTAGAAATAGTTTTCATCTTTGTGGGCATATAGACTGGTTTCTCTTCCAGCTTTCTATATTCATTCTTTTTATAATTATGCCTTTGCCTACATTTACAGGTTTATGCAGTTCACTTCAAGTGCAACAAGAAGTTATTGCGCGAGTACCCAAATCTTTTCAACTACACCAAAGACATTTTCCAAATTCCAGGGATGAGTAGCACTGTTAACATGGAACACATCAAGAAGCATTACTATGGCAGCCATCCTTCCATCAATCCATTCGGGATCATTCCCCAAGGTCCAAATATTGACTACAACTCTCCACATGATAGAGAAAGATTCTGAGTACATAATGTGCACCGTTTTCTGTTTGCAGTAAAGCCATACTTTAACTTTGTAAGTGGGATGGTATAGTTCTGAATAAGGCTTTCTTTCTGTTTTTTCTTCGTGATTTTTTGTTGTAATGGTGAAGGGGTAGTAGATGTTGTGTTCTGCAGCTGCTTTGGTTATTTTGATGATCCCATGGCTGTTGTGGTGAAATTTGTAGCAAAATAAACCTGCAAAAACACAAATGTGAGATGAGTCCTGGGTAAAACCCCGGCAATAAAGGAAATATCAATATAGGGTAGTATTCATAGTGTACAAGCAGTGAGATTTAGGCCCTCTGAGATTGTGTTTGCGGAGGTGCCAACCCCTCTCTTCTGATGTCATGTCCGTTGATACAGATCCCATTGATATGGGGTGCGGGGCGTGTGATGGTTTATTACTTTATTATTGTGGGATCATTGACTGAACTATTAGTCGGAATGATAGTTATCACAAATTTCTGTTGCAAACTGGCTCCAGAAATCACAACGATCACAAAATAGCACATAAATGTACAAGATATTCAAAGTGTAGATACAACCCGGAAGAGATATTATTTCCAGGATAGCGGCATTGACTTGGTAAAATCAATTGGAACCGAGGAAAAAGGTTCCAACTGAAAGCATTAAAAAAGTGTCTTTGAAGGAAAAATGACAATAGTTTGCGCATTAGGTTAATTCAATGAAGACAAAAATCAGGTATAGAATTAATTTCAGTTGTTGGAAACGTTGACCTGATGACTTTTAAGGTTGGACAATTAACCAGTTCATTTGTACATCTCTAGAAGTTACAGAAACAGAAGCCCGTTTACCTATGTCTCCTGCAGATTTCCAACAAGGTATGCTACAGTCTTTTCCCTTTTTCCTTTACTCTTTCTTGAAAACGTTCTTACTTTCTGAACTTCAATTCTCTTTCTCCTTTTGAGTGATTGCTATATTTCTGATCTTTGTCTAGGTTTAATTTGGTTTATGATCACTATCTGAATGAACCCTTTTGGCCAATTTCACCTTGAATTGTTAAATAATGATTTGAGGATCATACTATTGCTTGCAGAATCAAGATGGTTACAATATGTTCTTAAGGTATTTGATGGAATAAATGCTAACATTTACTCTTGGTATCATTTTAGCATACGCTACAAGTTGCAGGCATGAATAAAGGAGAGATATCAGCATCAGGTGCATTTGTCAGAACTGCTTCAACTTTCCGCAATTTCATCTCGCGGGATCCAAACTCCGATTTCCCTGCAGAAGCAGGGAGATATCACCTATACATCTCATATGGTTGTCCCTGGGCATCTAGATGCCTGGCAGGCTTATATATCAAAGGGCTGGACAAAATTATTAGCTTCAATGTAAGTTCTACTTGTACACCTTCTCCCTATATTCAGTGCTTACCTTGAGTTTATTCAGAGAAAAGTAATTTACCTAGAATTACATTTCACTGTTGTCGAATAGTCTGTGAAATCTGCATGGGGGAGGACCAAAGATACTGATGATCACATGGGATGGATTTTTCCTGACACAAGTACCGAGCAAGATGGCGCAACTCCTGATCCTTGGAATGAGGCAAAAAGCATCAGAGAATTGTATGACATTGCAAGCGCGAACTACTCAGGAAAATATACCGTTCCTGTATGTTCAGCTATCAAATGTCTAGTGGTTTCTTTTGTGGCATATGATAATTTTCATGTGTACTCTCTCAGCTGAACCGCCGTATTGTTTTTTTGTTTTTTTTTTAATCAGGTTCTGTGGGATAAGAAACTAAAGACTATTGTGAATAATGAGAGTTCGGAGATACTACGAATGCTGAATGCAGAGTTCAATGATCTAGCAGAGAATCCAGGACTAGACCTCTACCCATCCCATTTGCAAGCTACAATAGATGAGCTAAACGAGTGGATATACGATGATATAAATAATGGAGTATATAAATGTGGATTTGCCAGGAAGCAAGAAGCTTATGATGAGGTATTACAGCTTTTTTTTTAATCTGCATTTGAGATCTGAACTCATTAGTTTCTACTTCCTGGCGATAATATCTTAAACACAAGCATCTGTTTTCAGGCTGTGAACAGATTATTCGATGCTCTGGACAAATGTGAGGAGATTCTCAGCAAGCAGAGATATCTGTGTGGAGGGACTCTGACTGAAGCAGATATTCGAATGTTTGTTACCCTTATAAGGTTTGATGAGGTATGGATCTTTCTGCAAATGTGAAAAATCAACCTCCAATCAAGTGAAGCATTTTCACATATAGCATTACTTTCCAGATATGGTTAAGCTAACAACATAAACTTTGTCTTGCTGCTCTTCAGGCGTACGCGATTCACTTCAAGTGCAACAAGAAGTGTTTGCGGGAGTATCTGAATCTTTTCAATTACACCAAGGATATATTCCAGATACCTGGGATGAGTAGTTCAGTCAACATGGAACACATCAAAAAGGGTTATGGATCTCTTCCTCTAATCAATCCCTCAGGTATCCTCCCCATCGTTCCAAATATCGACTACTCCTCTCCACATGACCGGGCTAGATTCTCCGTGTACGATCAGCTTCTTGTTCAGTGCTCTTAGAACTCAGCTGTAAAAGGATATCCGAGTTTTAATTTTTTCTGTACGGGCCATAAATGTAACTTTGTAAGTGAGATGGTGGTTCTGAATATGGTTTTCTTTTTTGTTTACTCTAGTTTCTGTTGTAATGGGAAGGGTAGATGTATTCTGAACGTTTTTTGTGACAAAGCGAATGGGTTGACAACTGCCATTAAGGCAGCAAATGGAAAGTTTGGAACTAATCACAAAAGTTGTTAAACTAGTCTAGAATGGTCAGACATGATCAATAGTCTTTCCAGCTGTGTTCCTTACACATGAGAATGATGGATGATAAACTGAGGCATAAAGACATCAATTAGTAATCTTATTTTAGTTTTTAGTTTTCTAAAACTGTTGAAGAAAAAATCATCATCACTGAAATAATGTATCCCCGTACTTTGACCGGTGCTTTACAAAGAGAACAAATACAATTTTTAAAGTTCATATGATCTCATCCGTGATCTCATTTGAACTATAAAAGCAAATTATCCCACTTCAGTCAGGAAATCTCCACTTCTGTGACTACTGGAGACCAAACATCAGGTATAAAATGATGTGGTTTCTTTCATTTTCACATCTGTTGAAGTTGACAGAAACCTCTTTTCTCTTATCTCCTGCAAAATTATCCGACAAGGTATGCGCTAGCCTTTTCTCCCCTTTACTCTTTCTGGTATGGTGGGATTGTGTTGATCGTATGATTACTGTAATTAAGTTAGTACTTTGTAGTGCTGATGTTTGCCAAGTAAATTTGATCGGAGATGGCGGGTGTTCCTTGAGGAGTTTATTCGAAAAGAAGCTTCAAATCAGTATTAAGAGAGCAAAACTGCACATGTAAAGCGTTTGGTCTTTATGAATGTACAAAATGTCACTGTAGAGATTCAAAAAGAAGTATTGAAAATTGGGTGAAACGCGAAAAACTTTCAAGAACAATTCATACAAGCTCTTTTTTCCATTAAATACAATCTCTTTGATTTCAGTCTACAAGTACTGGAGCTCATTGATACATCTGATATAATGCACCAACCTGGTCCTGCCTTTTTTTTCCCAGCACTTTGCTTCATTCATTTGAGATCATGATGCAACTACATTGTATATACAGCAATATGAATGTAACAACCAGCTGCAAGGTGGTGGCGATGTTCAGATGCTAACGTATATGCTCATGATATGATTTCAGCGTACACTACAAAATTGCTAGCACGTCTAAAGGACAGATGTCGACAGCTGATGCATCTGCCAGAACTGTTTCGACTTTCTGCAGTTTCATCTCACGAGAACCAAACTCTGATTTCCCTCCACAAGCAGGGAGGTATCATCTGTACATATCATATGGTTGCCCCTGGGCATCTAGGTGTCTAGCAGGTTTAATGATCAAAGGACTGGAAAAAGTCATCAGCTTCAATGTAAGTTCTACTTTCAAGTCTTGTCCCAGCTCAATATTTTACTAGAGTTGATTCAAAGAAAAAATATTTACCTCAAGTTACATCTCACTGTCATCAATTAGTCTGTGAAATCCAAATGGGGAAGGACCAAGGATACTGATGAGCACATCGGATGGCTTTTTCCTGATTCAAGTACAGAAGAAGACGGTGCAACTCCTGATCCTTGGAATGGAGCCAAAAGCATCAGAGAATTATATGAGATGGCAAGCACAAACTACTCAGGAAAATATAGTGTTCCCGTATGTTAAGCACAACCCTTGATTTTTTTGCCTGCATATAACTATTTCATTTGAATTCTCTCGGCTGAGGCACCATATTGTTTTTCTTGTCAGGTTCTCTGGGATAAGAAACTAAAGACTATAGTGAATAATGAGAGTTCAGAGATACTACGAATGTTGAATACAGAATTCAATGATCTTGCTGACAATCCCCAACTAGACCTCTATCCAGCCCATTTGCAAGCTAAAATCGACGAGATAAATGAATGGGTGTTCAGTGATATAAATAATGGAGTTTATAAATGTGGATTTGCAAAGAAACAAGAAGATTACCATGAGGTGGAACAGCTATGTTCTCTGTGAAATCTAAACTAATTTGTTTTCTACTTCCTAATGATGATATTTTTAAAACAACCATCCTTTTCAGGCGGTAAACAGTTTATTTGCAGCTCTGGACAAATGTGAGGAAATTCTCAGCAAACAGCAATATCTCTGTGGAGGAACTGTGACTGAAGCAGATGTTAGATTGTTTGTTACCCTTATAAGGTTTGATGAGGTATGGATCTTCTTTTTTTTCTTCTTTTTTTTTAATACAATGCAGTCTTAAATCCTGGAGTTATTTCTTTAAAGAAAAGGGGAAAGAAAATCTCCATCTATGTGCATAATTTTAGAGCAGATATAGCTGTGCTTTAGCTAACAACGTATAACTGTCTGAACTCTAGGCTTATTTGATTTACTTCAAGTGCAACAAGAAGAACTTGAGGGAGTATCCAAATCTTTTCAATTACACTAAAGACATTTTCCAGATCCCTGGGATGAGTAGTTCAGTCAACATGGAACACATTAAGAAGGTTTACGGGTACCTTCATCACATCAATCCATCTGGAATTATTCCTGTCGGTCCAGATATCGACTATTCCTCTACACATGACAGAGCTAGATTCTCCACATAAAAGTGGTACAATCATCTTCTTGTGCGCTGCAATAGGCCTATGCAAGTTATTATGGAATAATTGCTCTAGGGACTGTCGAATTAAGTGTTTTCCTTCTACAATACCATGATTTATGTGTGTTTTCTTTAGAAGAATGTCAACATTTATTCTAAACTTAGTAGCTGTATCACGCTACTAAGTTTGATTTGGAGGTGTTTTAGAATGTAATAGAGAGATGGTTTCATTTAGCAATTAGCATGCATGAATGAAACCTTCAAGCTCCATTCTCTCTTGCGTCACATCATTCCTTCAGTTTTTGGTCCTTCTCTTTAATTTTTAATAATAAAGGTTACCATTTAGGTCATCACTTACGTTTTACCTGCTCAGCATTGAGTTAAACCATAAAAGAGCTAAATGGTAACAAAGCTTTTTGAGGACCATAACCCAGAAGCATAATCTTATTGCTGATTCCTAGATGCCAGAGGAAACAGTAAAAATGGAGGAACCCATTAAACATTATAACTCTTCTATATAGGATGTCTACACTTTACAAGCCAAAAGCACTTACGAGGTGTATGAGGTCATACAGAGACTTATGTTGAGAATATCTACACATATATCGAGAAAGATGACCCCCCACCAAAAAAATTTAAAAAAAAAAAACAGCTTTAACCACCAAGCATTCCTTGGGAAACCGAGATTGGGGGTTCGTAAATTTCCTCCAGCAAACATTTTCTTATCCATTGGCCAAAATTCCTATGCCTCCTCAGCATTGGCCAAGTAGCCATCGGTAACTAGAGAACTATGGTACCGGAACTTCATCACATGTGTGATCCCCTAGGATAAACAGCAAAATGAAACCTATATAAACACAAGATTCACAAAACTTGGAACCAAACTTGAAATTGGGTAAACAAGGCTAACATCCAAGCATATAGGTAAACATTGACATACAGCAGTTGTTCAACCCGAGATACAAAAATATTTCAGCAGAAGTATCCCATCTCGACTGACCTTGAGCAGTAATCAGAAAGCTATGGGTTTATGATCATATGCTGGTCAAACACAGACAGTTCTTTATTGAATTACTTTTCTCCATCCAAGTCCATGCTTCCCTAAGAACTAAGATTGATCAAACACTCTGAAGACTGTTTCTTCAAATGATTTTGGCAAGTATTCTTCAATGGAAATCACATAACTAAAATCCATTAGGTCCCGTTACAACTAAAAAAAATCTATTTCATATATTTTTTAACTCCCGGCACTGAGCCTAAGTAAAGCTGCCCTAACTGTAGAACCTATTGGATGTATATAAATGCCAAAGACTCTGCTTCCTTGAACCTTTCTTCCGATATCGCATGTTCAACAATCTCGAGATTAACAGAAATCACATCAACTCAAAGCTTTACCTTTTCCTTTTTATCTTAATCTTTCAATATAGCTAAATTCTCCCTTCAATTTCTTGCATTCTTGCTCTTGACAATACTGATGATGTATTTCAAGTATTATTTTCGGCAGGCCCCCTTCCTAATCCTTGAATCCATTTTAGATCTCAAACACTCGACACGAGGCTGAGGAATTATTTAAGTATCGTTAATTCCTATTCTTCTACTTATAATGATGATGGCAATCTTCCATTTCCAAGATTGTGAATATTTGCATCCCTAAACAATTAACCTTAACTAAATCCAGAAGTTTCCTATTTGGCTATTTCCTCAAATTGTGTTCTCGATTACTAAATTCTAGTCAATTTGCATAAGCAAAAAATGCATATGCGTATAGTACCAATAAAGAAATCAGTTACCTTCATGAATGCATACATTTCGCTTTTCAAATCAGCAATTATGGAGGGAGCTAAATACTGTTACTTACAAGAAGAATTATGGATCATTTCCTTTCCGGGGTGCAAAGATTTGCTGACTAAATTGCTTCTCAAAGGAGCGGTTCAAGGTTTGGCATCATCCTGATGATTGGAAAGGCAGAATGAGAGAGAGACCTGAGCTTGCTGGCACTGACGGCGCTTGAGGGCGGTGCCGCCGCTGGAACAGAGGCTGCGGACGGCTTCCGATTCACTAGGGCAAGCCAGAGTCACTAAACACTCGGCTAGGGATCGGTTCAGGTGGTGACAAGCAGCCCGGCGAGCGGGCCCCTCCGGTATGCGGCGGTGGCAGTCTAACAAGGCGCGGCGGAGACGGTCGCACTCCGGGAAAGGATTGGGGGTGCCACGACCACCGGACGGCGGGATTGAAGACATTAGTGACCAGCAGGGGGGTCCCACGTGGACGTTAATTTCGTTACGGTAAGGATAATCCGCTCGTAAGTTTGGCACTAAAGCTACTAGTGCAATGTCTTCTGATTTCAAAAAAAAACAAAAAAAGCAATGTCTTCTTATATTTTCTATACTGTACCTTTTATTTTTCGCCATTTTATTCAAATTTTTTTTAGAAAATCGTAGAGAAAATACTTCAAAAAATATTACTGCTACATACTACAGTAACATCGATAAGTTAATAATCGATAAATTAATAATATTGATAAATTAATAATTTTGTCTGATCCCAAGTTGGGACCAGTATAATAATAAAGATAATCAATTAAATAATAAAATAATAATTTTTCAAAAAATCCTTATGTAAATATAGGTCCCGTGACTTGAAATAAAAAAAAATATATGAGTTAGTAAAATGTGAATCTAGCGTTTTTTGTTTTTCTTGAAATTTATATCTAACGAAATTGTAGATGTTGTGAATTTTTTACATGAGATATCCAGCCGTTGACGAGAGTTTAAAGATTTTCCAAAACAGGCCAAATCTCTTTTAATAAAAGTATATTACGTAGATTGTGTAGGTGATAAAATTTAAGATAATGGTGGAGTCTAAGTTCTAATGCGTAAAGGATACAAGGGAATAAAATAATATAAATCTTATACGGATAAACTCAAAAGATTAATAGGATTCTTTGAGATTTTATTCAAATTAATAATTATTAATTTATCGATAAATTAATAAATCAGATAAATTAAAAAATTTTTGAAGTCCTAACAGTATTAATTTATAGATGTTTAATTGTATATTGTTTTTATCTACACATACTTAGTTAGAAAAATAAAAAAAATAAAAAAAAAAAGTGACGGATACCAATTTAACAATTGCTCTGTAACATAAGAAAGAGAGATATTTCAAAAAGTTTTTATTCAAAAAGCTCATGTACTCACTTTGTCCCAAAAACATTTCCAATTCGAAATTTTCACTTTTAGTATAAATTATTCAAAAAATAAAAACTTAAATTGGATAATCTTTTTGGGATAGAGAGAATAAAATAAAATATTGTCTCTAATCTAAAAAAATTCCTTACTCGATTGAATTATTTCAAAATGGATTATTTTTTTAAGACAAAAAGATAACATAAAAAAGATGAATCATTTAATGATCTATTATTTTCTTAATACGATCAACCATACTCCGATTCTATTAATGTTTTTTTATGTATAAGTCGGATTTAAAAATGAACTTAACTGAATAACATCAATGTTTCTAAAAATGACAAAAAAATAATGTAAGTGAGAAGCATTTGTAACATGATATTAGATGTTGTCTAAAGTAAAAGTAAACTGATTTCTTGGAATGCAGGATTGAATTATGACTCCGAAAACAATAGGTTAAAATCTCATTTAAAACTATCTAAAAGACTAAACGAAAAAAGAAAAATTCTTGAACTTCCAGTCAACATAATTTCAAAGATTTTAAAAGTGTTGTCCGAAATGTTCTTTTTTTTTATTTTTATTTTTTGGCTTGTTGGTAGTGTAAAAATATTTATAACCTTTGCATATGTTGTAGAAGTATAAGAAATATAGAAAAATGAGATACGATTGTGAAGCAAGACACACTAAAATGGGGTTAGTAGAAATGGAGGTAATTCTGCCAAAACAATTTTAGCATCTACGGTAATTTTAGTGTGAAAAGACACAATTATCCTCTTTATGTGAGTATTATCCTTCAAAACATATCCATTTTCATGTGAGTTGCTACGCAGAGAGAAAGAGGTGGATGTTATTTTTGAAAGCAAAACAAAAACGATCTCCAATTTTGCAAAAAAGAAAATAAAATGGAAAAACATATTCCCTCTGTTCCATAATTATTGTCCAATTTTGGCTAAAATGAAATATTTTATTTTTGGTCAAACTTAACTATAATTTGACTCAAACTTCCGTATATACCCCTGATATGTAATTCGGCAAAGATTTTATAGATTCATAAACACAATCTCCTTTAATTTTTTTCCACATCAGCAGTGAAATTAAAAAACCTATCCATTAGACGCAGATCAGCCGTCGACCAAATTCGTCTAACCCATTCACTCTTGTCCCTCACTCAGCGGCCAATCGACAAGTATGACTTTCAACCACCGCTTAGCTCCAAGCCTCCAATCCTGATCGACGTTTGGAGTGCCTACCAATTAGACTCGGCGGCGGCCAACACCAAAGTCAACGATGTTAATTGTGCTACTTTTGCCACAAACAGCTCGTCGGCAGCAGCTATGATGGCTCCGACCAATTTGAACATCGGAGGAGTTGTTGATAAAGGGAACCGACGGCGGATTGGCAGCGTAATAAGGTTGTCATAGGAAGAGTTGTTGGTGGAGGGAATCGGCGATGGATTCGCAGAGTAGTAAGGTTGTTGGTGGAGGGCGCCAGCCAGTTTCTCTGCATATTTGTCTGTGATTAAAGTTTAGTCAACCTATATTATAATTACTAAATATGTAATTGAGTTTGGTAGTCCTACAAGTGTGCCAATTCTATGTATTTTATGCCTAATTATTTCTTCTCACGTGGAAATGTCACTTTTTGATTTTTTTTTTTATTTTTATATTTTTTTGTTGTTGCTGTTGAAAGAATCCCACTTTCTGCATTCTATTACTTTCACTCTTTCCACCACACCGTTCACTCGTCCCTTAATAAATGGATTCTTTAATTTGTGTTTTAATTTCTTCATTCAATTAAAAGGCCTTCTATCTTCCTCCACGACTCCACCTCAAGTCTGAACTCCTGTCGATCTTGCTGTCCAAGATAAATCAATTAGCTTTCCACCGAATTTATGGCAAGAAGTACTATAAAAGAATCCCAACTTCTCTAACCCTTGAGATCAATGGTTTTTTGATAATCAATCTTCAATCCCACTGATTTCTTTGGTTTCCTTCTTTACGTTCATCCCACCGATTTGTAAGCTGTCATTCAGATTCGTTGATTATCTTATGGAGTTCGGTGTATCAGTGAAGTTAAAAAGAAATCCAACCATGATGATTAAGGAAGATATCTAATCCAAGATTCCTTTCTTTGGATGGATATACCCTTATTTCTCAAAAGAAATTAATAACTTGATTAGAGGCGATGTGTCAATAATTCTACATGTTCACGCATCTTACAAGATTCATGTAATGTCAATACAAACAAATTTACGAGATCGCATTCTTATGAATACAAACAAAAAATCACACTGTAATTTCATACTCAAAATATTATTCTCGAAAATTTCATCCAGGCACGCGCGAAGTGCGTTCAAGCCTCCTAGTTGTTATTAAAGACTAGATCAAAAAGTCATGCTTCGGAGGTGTGAAACTGGTTCATATGCTAAAACTTATTCCTTCAGCCGGATAAATGAGTTCTAGTGAAGGGTAAATGTGTAACTTAATCCATAAAAAGTCGAATTGGACAATAATTTTGAGACAAATTTTTTTTAGCAAAGTGAACAATCAGTATAAGACGGAGGAAGTAATAGAAATGATCTCTAAATTTTGCAAAATAGAGGTGGGCTAGAAGTAAGACATCATTTCAAATTTAGTTTTTCTCACCGAGGAGAAAAAGATGATGAAAAGTGCTAATATTTTAATGATAGACAATTATGTCCTTTCATTCAAAATTTGTTTTGGATGCTAGATTTTGTTTTGGCAGAATAATCACTCTAATAAAAAAGTAAATAACAAAGAAATTAAAATGAAAAACAGAAAATTCTCTAAGAAAATGTGGGTGGGAGCCTATATACCCATCCATTACATAACTCCAAATATATTTCTTAATTATTTTTTCTTCATTCAACGTTTTCTTTTTAATTTTGGAAATTATAATTTAGTTTTAAAAAAAACATTGTTCATTGACCAAATATATTCACGAAAGAAAACAAAAACATCAGCCTCGTGCTGTCATTATCTTTTCATTATCTTCTCATCCTGCTGTCACTTACATCACCTTTATGTTTTTTAAATCTTTCAGTTTCAATCATCAAATCATTATCGGTGGACTCTTCCAAATACTATATTTATCCCACCTATATTATATCATATCTATTTTTGTGTATTATATCGATATACTATTACCTACCAAATACCAATGTTTCCTTCCAATTGTACTGGTATTTGAGCTCTCGAAAGATACGAAAAAGTATGCACATATTTTTAACCAAATAAATTGAGGTAGGTACAAGAATAATCGACCCCTATATTTATCATGATTAAACCATAATTAAAGGTGATTATACGATTAGTGTTACAACTATATTAACTCGCTGAGCAAAGTAGCAACCAAGTATACCAAAAAAAAAATAAAAAAAAATAAAAATCTTAGTACAAAATGGGTGATGAAGCCAAAAGTATTATGGGTGAGACATCATAGAAGTTAAAATATGTTATTAGAGCTTTTGTTATTTCTGTATTTTGTTCAATTTATTTTATTTTTGTGAGATTCAATGTATAAAAAGTGAATTATTCACTCTAGTTTAAACTCGTACAGTTTGAAAGTTCAATTCAAGAAGCTTAGCAAAGTCTTATAGTTAAAATTTAAAGTATTCAATGGCAAAAAATGCAATAAACATTTGAGTACAAATTTCAGGAATAGAACTCTAATTATAAAAGGGAAAGAGTGGTAAGTAAGTAAATTGTGGCTTCCACTTTTTGTGATACTCTCTTAAGAAAAGTGGTCATAGTCAACAAACAATTAGCCCAAATATTTTTTTTTTGCCTTAATTAAAGGAGAATACAAGGGGGAAAAAAGAGGAAAAAAAAAAAAAAATCGCTCACCCCATCATATTAAGTGGAAATGAATTATTTGAAGGTGAATGAGTGTGCAGCTTTTGGGGAGCAAATATGGATGGGCCCTTTATCCCCACCAAACTTGTGTCTAATACTCTATAGTATCCAAAGAAAATGATATTTTCTCCCCCTTTTTTCTTATTATATATTCTTCAATGAAATTTTTTTTGGTTACATTATTTTTTGCCTTCCATTACCAGAATAGGTTTGTATGAATTGTGTCATTGTGTGTGTGTGTGTGTGTGTGTGTTTGTTTATGTGATCCACTCTCCAATAATTATGAGTGGCAAATATGAGTGGTATATGAGAACAATACAAAAGAGTGAAAGGGACATCAAAAAGGAAGAAAGGCAAAAAAGTGTGTGGAAAAATAGCATTAACATATATTTCTTTTTCTAACATTGGGCTCATACTTTCTTAAGATAATAAAAAAAGAAATATATTTGACTACATAGCATTCTACCATTTAATAAGAAAAATAGTTGACACTATCACTAATTATTATTTTAATTTTTTATTTTTTTAAAAATGTAACAATATGACTGAAGAAGTGTTTCGTATTTAAATGAAGGAGTAAAATTATAATTGAATATGATCGATATATTATCGAGAAAGTTAAAAAATCGCGGTGAAATGCAATAAATGGTTTGAAATGTAAAGTATAATCTAAAAATTGAGCTCAGATTTAATACAATGAAACGTCAAATAATCGTTTGGAGATTTTTATCTCTAACCTATTTAAAATTGAAACAAAGAAAATACAAACAATGAAGTCACAATAAGAAATTTCATTTAAATAGGCAGATTTCATAATGACTTCAGACTGCAATAATTTTTTTTTAAAAAAAACTGTTCATGTAATAGTCGTATTTACTAAAAAAAGGGCATTAATACTTGAAGGTTTCTATTTTCACACTGAAAGTCTTTTTATACTCTCCGGTGTGTGTCTTCTTTCCACTTCTCCCTGACACACACACACACACACTCCCTCCTCCTCCCTATCTGAACAAACAGAAGACAATCCCAATATCCTTGCTTTTGCATTTCTGATTGTTCTGATTGGGATTGCGGTAATTGGGATGGATTATGAGAAGCCATTGATGAATTAGGTTTTATCAGATTGAAATTTTGAGCTAGGTTATGGAAATATTTTGAAGGGGAGCCACAGAGTGAAAAGTTTCCATTTAGAGCTCCATCAAATTTTGCAGGTGGGTTCTCCTGAATTTGCTGGAAATTTGCAATCTTGATGGTATTCAGTATCTGATTTGCTCAACTTATTGAACTCGATTATTTTTTTCCCCTGCCTTCTTGTTTTCGCTTGAAGCTCAGTATTTGGTGTGCTTCAATGATTGAATGGTAGAATGATTTTTTTTTTTTTTTCAGTGAATGAATCCTATCTCTTTGTTAGTTTTCTGTTTGTTAAAGATGGTGAATGTTTGGGATGTATCAAGTTTTAGCTGTTAACTTCTTTAGCTCTTACTAGCTTGCTTTTGTTTCTCCGCATTTTGCTTTGACCCCAGAAAATGTTCTTGAGCACTTTAATAACCTCCTCTCCCAATTATGTATATCCAATGCTGATTCTTATCTGCTATGTTGTTGGTTAGTTATCAATCCGATGCCTTGATCATTTGCATTCAAACCAATTTCTAAAATTGTCCAAATTTAGGCTCCCAAATTATTTTTTTATCTATCTCTTAAAATGTTCTTTGTGCCCATTGAAGAACATGTTTTTGTTGGTCACATTTCTTCGTACTCTATGCTATTTGGAGTTGTCTGGGAAGTCTGACAGTTGTATGAACACTTCCTTACGTGGCTTTCCCCTGTTTCTTCTTGCCGTGGCTTAATTTTATCCTCTTCTTGCCAAAATTGATTTAGTGCCCTCAACTTATTTGAAGGTAATGATTTTCATTCAGGAAAGCTGAAAAATGGATAGCTCAAAAGTGGATTCAAGGTATAATCACTCTGGGTCATCCAGATCAGAGGAATCAGCTCTAGACTTGGAAAGGACCTACTGCGGCCATCCAAATATACATTCATCAAGTCCTCCTCCACTACAAGCCTTTGCATCAGGTGGTCAGCTATCTGACACCAATGCTGCCTATTTCTCGTGGCCTACTTCTAGTCGATTGAATGATTCTGCTGAAGATAGGGCTAATTACTTTGGAAACCTCCAGAAAGGTGTTCTGCCTGAAACGCTTGGTCGTTTGCCAAAAGGTCAGCAAGCTACAACCTTGCTTGAACTGATGACAATAAGAGCATTTCATAGCAAACTTTTGCGGCGATTTAGTCTTGGCACTGCAATTGGGTTCAGGATCAAACAGGGAGAGCTGACCGATGTTCCGGCCATTCTTGTCTTTGTTGCTAGGAAAGTTCATAAGCAGTGGCTTAATCATGTCCAGTGCTTGCCGACTGCCCTTGAGGTAATGAGTTATTAGCGATACTTCTACCTCGTAGAGAAAGAAAAAAAAGAGAGGAAAGCGAAAAACTGCCCCTCACCGGTTTTCGGCTTTTATCTTATGCTTAAATGGTGATAGTGGTTGTGTGGTTTTTGAGTTTCCACTTGCATTAAGTTCATTCTCTTCTGCACTTTATTTTATTCTTAATCAAGCAAAAATTTCCATGTGGTCACAAATCATGCAGAAACTTTGTAGTCATGGTGTGTTGCACTTCTGAATAGATATCCTTTAACAATTTTCTCGATTTTTGTTGTCTTCGTCTTTTTCATGGTTGTTGCTTATCCTGTGTCAAGTGAAGCATCTCTCGTATTCTTGGATCAGGGACCTGGTGGTATATGGTGTGTCGTAGATGTCGTTGAATTCTCTTACTATGGGGCCCCTGCAGCGACCCCCAAGGAGCAATTATATACAGAAATTGTAGATGGTTTACGTGGGAGTGACCCACTTATTGGTTCTGGTTCCCAGGTAATGCCATTTTCTTGTTGAGATTGCTTTTCATCTGAGTGCTCTTTGCCGATATGGTTATACTTCAAATAAGCTCAATTTTAAGATAGTTTTGTACCATTCAATTCTTCGATAAGTCATTCTTGTGATTCTCTTGTTGTCATGTTATTTAACTACTGTAAAGAAACAGTTTATTAAAAAGGAAATCTCTTATGGTTAGACAGAACATCCCCAAAATTAATCATATCCAGGAATGATAATATTTTTGTCGTGCTTGATATGTTTAAGTCTATTTCTTGTTATGCAGGCTGATGTTTTTTACTCATATAAGTTTTTTGCTTGGTCAAAGATGTGATTGGGTGGGACATGAGGTAGTAAAACTTGAGATTGCTCATCATTGACAGTCATGATTGTCAATGCTTGGTTAACACCAGAAGAAAGTAGTGAACTACTGAAACAGCTGGAAGATACTATCTATTCATTGTGTTCAGTTCAACCCCGCACACAATTTTACCTACCAGTGAATTATCATCTTCGCCTTTCTCGTTTGTTGATTGAGACAAGAATCTGAATATTTTACTCTCAACTTATCTTGCCATGCATCTTTCGCCTTTGTGAATAGAAGTACTTGACTACTTTTTCTGTTATGAACAAACTTGCATAAAGATTGAAGTTTAATTAATGGGCATAAAATTGAAGATTCGTAAATGGAGCTAAGTCATCTCCATTTCAAGGTCAAGCCATGTTTTCTTTTGACCAAGCAGGGGAAACAAACTTACTGAAACGTTTGCGAGCTTACATTAAGCACCTGGATGTTACGACACTTTTAAGGATGGAAATCATTCCTTTCACATGCTTCCTATTCCTGTGATATTCTTTGCCAATGAACTTTAGAAATATTGATGTCAAGTGTTCGCATCTAAGTGTCTTTGGATTTCTCATCGATAGCTTTATGCCAGTCATGGCCTAGTGTTAACCATCTCAATCTTCTGCATTCTGTGGATCAAATGAAAAAAATCACCAATTGTAAGTTATTGCGGCAATCGTCTTTTATTTTTTTTGGTGGTAAATGGAATTTGACTTGCATTTATTTTCTAAACTTATTAAGTAGTATATCCTTGGGCTTAAGATTATGTCAATGGCAACAAGATTCTCTTGGTGGCAGTATGAAGAAAATACTAAATTTTGCAGACAGATTTTAGATTTTGAATAAAGTTTCTGCAGCTTGTTTCATAAACTGTGGATGCTGAGGGAATTGATGTTGCTCTTGGGCTACTCTTTTTCAGCTTTTATGATTAATTGCTTGATGCTCAAATCTCATTGATGATTAACCTAATAATTTTGACTTGTGGTTATCGGTGAGAAGTCAACTATCTGCATTGATTGTAAAGCAAGACACTTGTTCCATGAATATTTTTGTATACGTAATTGTATAGCTGGCCAGATTTATAATTTTTTTGTATTTTGCAATATGCAGAATGGCGGCTGTTTATGAGATTTGAATTTAATTGATCTGATTGCTTGTATTTGCTTAGGTTGCTAGCCAAGAAACTTATGGAACCTTAGGTGCTATTGTAAAAAGCCGAACAGGTAACCGTCAGGTTGGTTTTCTTACCAACCGACATGTGGCAGTTGACTTGGACTATCCAAGCCAGAAGATGTTTCATCCGTTGCCACCTAGCCTTGGGCCTGGGGTGTATCTGGGTGCTGTAGAGAGGGCAACATCATTTATAACTGATGACCTTTGGTATGGCATCTTTGCAGGAACAAACCCTGGTAGGGTAACATTATCTTGAGAAAAATGTATTTTAAGTGCCTAGCTTTTGATGTTTTCTCTATATTTTGATACCTCAAGCTTTTCATTTAACAAGGTTTTCATGGTTCATTTATCATGGGTCATGCTAAAAAGCTAGTTGTATTCTTGCCCTTTATTGTTGTCTCTGCTGTATGCATAAATGAAGAGAAGTCCCCCTAAAAACTGTATCATTATCCATGTACTCCTGAAATTCTTCATTTTATGGGTTACAACAATCAAACAAATGGAATTTGGGATCTTAGGGGAAGATAACACAGTAACATGCACCCAGTACAACTCTTAAACTTGAGAGCTTTAAGTAACCACGAGAATCCCTTCTCGTCATTCCATTTCTATTATACAGTCCTTAACAGGTATATATAACATATTCGGACTATGAAATGCTCAGCATGGTGTCCTGTTAGACACTGTTGTGTATATCCCCTTTATACTCAGATTTTACATGTACAACCGAAGCTTGTTATGATGCTAAGAACTATATCAATTCTGTTACATTTTGATTAAGCTTTTGCTGACAATGTTCTTTTGTCTTTACCTCATAATTTGTACTGCTCCTTTGCTGCAGAGACATTTGTGAGAGCGGATGGAGCATTTATTCCCTTTGCAGAAGATTTTGACATGTCCTATGTTACTACATCGGTAAAAGGAATTGGTGAGATTGGTGATGTGAATACTATAGATTTGCAGTCTCCCATTGGTAGTCTGATTGGGAGGCAAGTGGTAAAAGTTGGAAGGAGCTCTGGATTAACTACTGGGACAATAATGGCCTATGCACTGGAGTACAATGATGAGAAAGGGATTTGTTTCTTCACAGATTTTCTTGTTGTTGGTGAGAACCAGCAGAGTTTTGACCTTGAAGGTGACAGTGGAAGCCTTATTCTTTTAACAGGTCAAAATGGGGAGAAAGCAAAGCCAGTGGGGATCATTTGGGGTGGGACAGCTAACAGGGGTCGGTTGAAGTTAAAGGTTGGCCAGTCTCCTGAAAATTGGACTAGTGGAGTTGACTTGGGCCGCCTTCTTGACCTCCTTGAACTTGATCTTATCACATCCAATGAAGGGCTCCAAGGTTTGCATTCTGTTGTTTTTGTGCATGTTCGAAACTGAGCTTGCGTTCGATTTCCATGCGATTAATGAGATATTGCATGATGTTTTATTTGGACTAATGGTTAAATTATGATGCATCTAATCCATCCGAGCTCAAAGAGGAAGCTGGGAATTCTCTTTTGAAAGAGAAAAAAAAAAAAAAACAGAACACCTTAGTGAAAAACCATTGTTCCTCTTGTTTGTGGTTACATAGTTTTGCTTTTGCACCTACAATATGCTGGGAAAAAGATTGAAATTTTTGACCAAAATATCAACACACCTAGAGATTATACAGTGTATTTGTCTCAATCATATTGGTGTTAATGAAGGATTTGAGTATCACAGTGTAGTGAACACTTCTATGAGATTATGCGAAAAAAATATTTTGAATGGATTATGAGAAAAATCATTTTTCTTATCTTGAAATGACTTGAATAACATCCGTTTATTTTTCCTTATTTTCTTAATAGCTGCACTACTAGAGCAAAGAAATGCTTCTGGGACGGGAATTGATTCGACCGTTGGAGAGTCGTCACCTCTGGAGCGAGTAACTTCTAAAGATAACCTTGGTTTCAACATTGAGCAAGTTCCTGCAGACGGGGAATCTTGCCAAGGAACTGTCCCTCCATACCAGCATTATGAGTTTCATATCGAAAGCGGCAGTGAATCAGCTCCAAGTATAGAGCATGAGTTCATTCCAAGGTTCACTGGCAAATCCCCTGTGCATCAGCACAGATGTCAAGGGGAAAACACGGTATCGAAAAACCTGTCTGTACTTAGAAATGGATCTGAAGACGAGATTTTTGTATCGTTGCACTTAGGCGAGCCAGAAGCGAAGAGAAGAAAGCATTCAGAATCCTCCATGAACATGGAGAGCTTGAAGTGAAAATCCAGTGGCCTTATTCTTTTTCTTGAAAGGAGGAATCTAATAACTGTATGTATCCAAAAGTTTTGAGTTCTGGGGCAAAAATTATTGAAGCCCTCTCAGAGAAGCAATAATTATTCTTTTCCAATGTATTTCGGAAGGTTAATATATGATAGAAAATTACTGTAAAGTATGAATAATGAGATGCTTAGTAGAGAGATCAAGTGTAATTGTTTCAACTTATATAGTCTATTTGTAATGTGGATCAAGCTGTTAAGACTGCACCACAAAACACTTACCATGGATTAAAGAGTGTATTCAACTCAACAGCTTGGATTAAGAATGATTAGTGATCCTATTCTTATGATGCAAGTGTTTTTGTTCTCAGATAATTTGGTTATTCTGATCACAAAAGAAAGCTTCTGAATGACAGAGGTAATAATTCTTTTATCCACAACGATTTAACTCATGACAAAGTTTTACATAAGAAAGAAAAAAAAAAAAAGGAAAAAGAATAGTAGTAGGAGTACTATATTATTTGTTCCAGAAAAAGATAGCTTTTTTGACTTTAAGCAATATCTTCATTCCTCAACTGTTTCCAAAGTTCTGCCAACTACCTCGTCATGTCCTTCATACTTACCCAGCTGCTTCATCGTCGTCGTCATCATCATATTTGTGATGATTTCATGATCAAACAGTAAGTTTTAGATTCCTGATAATCATATTACATTCTGTACGAACTTGGGCATTTTTCTACTCCATTTTCCCTCGTAATTAAGCTCGATTATTGTGGTGTACGATCATGATTTCTTTAATTTCTTATCTTCTCGCATTCAGTTCTGGTTACGCATAAACATTGCGGGTTTTATGTCTGCCATCGGTCTTGTGGGATTTCAAGATAGTTATCATTTGTTACCCGGTCTTCCCCATTTTCACTATGAAATCTGGGTGCACGTTTGTTTTGATTCGCTTTATGAAACTTTATCTGGGTTTTGAATTGGGTACGGATTTTTCATTGCAATGAATTAGGTGGTAAATGCTGACTAGGGCTTCAATTGGGTGTTATTTGATTCTTCTTCTTGATCTGATCGTAATTGATTGTGCATTAGGTTTCGGTTGATTGAAGTGGAATTGGATATGTACAATGCGAAAGCTATCGAAGGGATAGAGCTGTCAACTAGAAAGTGGTCTGCACTTTTTCTGCTAGACAGGATTTTATGCTTTTCATTCCATCGTAATCCTTGTTAGCACAACTGCCTATTTATAAGTTTCATAACCTTTTTTTTCGTCTTATGATTAAGATTGCCATCTCACAATTCAACTTTATCTCTTCAAATTTAAGATTTTGATTCAGCTTCTTCTATATGCTTCCTTTAATGTTTGGAAGGCTGACAATTTATTCAAAACCAAGACAGAATGATTTCCCCTTAAACTTACAGCTTCCGAGATAATCTACTTTGATGATCTTGATTAGCTACTCTTCTTAGTTTGTTGCATCTAATCTGGAGTTACTAGCCAGTGCCGATATTGTTGGAGTCATCTAGAATTTGCTTTCTCTTAAGTTCAAATTTCAATCTAAATTTTTGTTTGATGCAAAGATTTAAGTGAATGTATATGAGAACTAGAGATACTTGTGATTGCTTACTTTTTGCAGTAAAATAACTTCAGACATGATATCAGTAATAAAAAAATCACTGTAAATCCTTTATAATGACTGAGGCGACAATGTGATTGCAGAAGGTTTTCAGCATATCCAATATGAGTGTTGCTGACTGGGTGCTGCAATATGGCATAGCTGGCAGTTTTAGAACCATAACTAGCACCGTTTCAATATGTTCTGGTTTCAGTTCCTCAAAACCGGAACCGGAACCACGGGTTCTGGAATCATGGCCATGTGTAGTGCCACATGGAATCATGGCCAATCACTACGAAAGTTTACTTTGGTTTTTATCATAACTACAATGGAAAATGAAGAAGTTGATGCGGCTAAGATCTTCTGAATCCGTTACTTTCTTCTTTTTTTTTTTTTTCCCCTCTCTTGTCTCAAAAGTATAATAGTTATAGAACTGCCAAATATCTGTTAGCCGCTAAATGATCCCAAAATAGATGCCACGAAAGCTTATTCAGCCAGAGAACAGAAATTAATTGCTGACTGGTTGGTGGTTTACTAGATAAAATCTGATTACCATACAGAATTCAAAACAACAAATTGAACGAGGAAATGAGTTACCTCAATTTTCTTTAGTGAGTCATATTGATTGGCATTTAAGTGGCAAGGAAATCTATGTTTGGTGACTAAAACCTTGATAAAATCTTAAAATCTTTCTGTTTCTTCTTCTGGATCATGAATGTCTGACCCTAAAACATTGACTGTTTGGATTTCCATAGATCTTTTCACAAGATCGATTTGTCTCCAGATCTTGTCCAGTCAAATAAAAAGTTTCTGATTCATAGGTAATACAACTGCATTCTTATGTGTTGCTTTTATTTCATTCGGGAAAAACCTTTTAATTTGATCCACTTTTTCTCTCCTGTGTTTGTAGGTTGATATCTGGGATTTGGAAGAAGAGATGAATAAAACTGAGATTGACAAGTTTTACCAACCTGCTTTTTGCCGGCATTTATACATGAGAAAGAATTTGGCTTTAGTGGTAAGTTCTGTCTTGTTTGTCATAAACTGCCATGGTTGAAGATACAAGTGTGTTTTTCTTTGAAAACAGAATTTTATTTAATTTCAATCTGAATAATACTGTTACTTTACATGAGTGAATTGTTGCGCTTGCTTCTACCGTGATAGTTGCATTGTTGATCATTTGTTCTTCAGTGGAAGTACTAAATCAACTTGCATTAAAATAATAGTACAATGTTAATTTCTGCGTTCTGCTATTGGCTGTGGAAATTGTTCTTGATGATCAACTCTAGTCTGTGTTTTAAGTTTTAGTTAGTTCAGAAGCATTTAGCCCTTGATCGGTGGAAAGTTCATGTTCTTTCATTTATCAATAGAACTGTTTTCCTTTGAATTAAGCACAAAAAGCTGGCCTTCAATCAGTAAACTTTGTTTGGGTTGAACTTTCAGAGTTTCAATGTCTATTAATTTTCCAATCTGGGGCTGAAAATAGTAAGCTGACCATTGCTTCAGCTTGCTCTAGATCTTGTGGGCACTTGTATTGGTTTACTTGTTATTTTCGATTTGAAATGTGTGGATCCCTTAGTCCCTTGTTGCTTTGGATGGTTGTGATGTTGCATTCTATGATGAAAAATTAAAGGGGAATGTTATTATGACACCGATCCCTCCTGGTAGCTTTTCTTTGTTATATCTTGTAAAAGACTATATTGGCTTCCTTTTAAAAGGTGAATCTTAGTGTCATTTATGTTCCGTGTTCTGTGCTATGAGAATAGGACCTACAAGGTGAGTCTTAGTGTCATTTATAGTCCGTGTACTGCGCTATGAGAATAGGACCTACAATGTTTTGTGGACCCGAGTGTTGAGGAACTAATTATGAATTCGAACAAAAGTCAATGCAGCAAAATTGAAAATGTTGAGATGGATGTTTGGGGACACTAGTGTAAATTGTAAGAGTAGCCCAGAGGGTGACGAAATATAGCAACTTGTTTAAACCGATTTGGACATGTGCATAAAGGATCTTCATATGCTTTAATATGGGTTTGTTAAAAGTATGAATCCACCAACTAAACTTAAGGGAAATGGTGAAGGGGGAAGACCTGAAAATATAAACCCCTGAAAAAGTCTATCATATCTTAAATAAGAAGTCCGTTGATTTAACATGATTGTGAGACATGATCCATAGAGCCGATCCAACCTATTGATTAGACTCAATTGTTCTTGTTGTTCATCATATTTTAATACATAATATTTTCAATCTTATTCAATTGACTGTGCTTCCTGCTACATTATTGCTGTCATACGTATTTGACTGCTTCAGTAACTTTCTCTAAGCCTTCTCCCTTCATCACTTTGAAGTAGTATACCTTTAAGTGATCCTTAAGTGCTGAATGTGAAACACATAAAGTGGGCTCTATATTGAGCTTGTGGAAAATGGGCTGTTTTTGCTTTTGTACCCATTTTTGTTATTATCAACTACATGATGTTGGTACTCATACGAAATTTTAAATTTACGTTCAGGAGTTATATGGTTTTGCGATATACTAGTAGTTTTATGCTACAGAGTCCTTCAAGATATATGGTGTTCTTTACTGGTAGCCTTCGAATTCCTCGGACTATTTACTAACTTTTAACTTATTTCCTGCTCATAGAAAATTCATCCTATATTTCTGAAGACGCATATTAAGGAAGAGGTTCCTGTTTTTTCAACTTTAAAGGGTCCTTCGGGTGGCTCTTGGCCTGTTAAAGTGCACCAAACAGAAAAGGGCATATATCTTGTGGAAGGATGGGAACAATTCCTACAGGACCATTCTTTAGTGCATGGGGAATTTTTAATCTTTAGCTATTGTGGAAATTGGTGTTTCGATGTTGAAATCTTCGGGCGTGATGGATTGCAGATGAAAATACCCGATGGTGAAGAGGAAGATAAAGCTGTACCGTCTGATTCCAAAGGAAAGACAGTTATGCATGATGCCAAGCCAGGTAGTTTCCTCCTCTAATTTGTTTATCTTGTTATCTATGTTGAAAGAAGATTGGTTAACTTGTTTACCCGAATCCTGAAACTGTTAAAAAGAAGATTTATGTGTAAAAAGACCGATAACATACATCTGATCAACCCTAGGTGGGATTATCTGCAACTCATATTTTCTTGACAAATATATTTATTATCTTAATTTAGACTTCAAATTGACCTGAATGGCATTATTCATCAGCATTTGATATAGGGCCAAGATGCTCTTGTTGTCTTGAAGGTATATAGTTGGGGATATCTGGGTAGACTTCACTGGGAGGATAGGCTTCCTAAAATTACTCTTAACTATGATTTATCAAATTTTGTATCTATTTCAAATCAGAAGTTAATGTTTAGGGGTGTTAAAAACAAAAGGAACCAAAGTTAGTTGGAAACGTGCGCACCTTGTTGAATTTTTTCTGGACAAGTGCAAGGAAGAGGTTGTTTTAACACGTACTGATGGAGGAAATTTGTCAAGGCTGTCATGGAAAAGGATTCAGTTGGCTTTCAAAGAGGAAAAAGGCACTGATTTCACCATGGTACAATTAGAGAACCGCTGGCACTTTTTGAAAAGGAAGCATGAGCTGTTTTCAGGGATCATTGCTCAGGTAAGAGATGTTCAATATGATCCAGTAGCCAATAAGATTAGCTGGAATGAGAAGCAGTGGGAAGAATATGTGCAGGTATAACAGTTGTGCCATCTATAATTTAGTAAAAGTAGAAAAGCATAAATGCACAACCTTTTGTCATAATCAAATCAAGATAATTGAACATAATTACTTGCCATTTTCCTTCTTCTCAATGTACCCGGAAGCTTAGAAGAGGAAACTTCCTTATCACCCTTAGTCATGTTAACTACGTTCTCTGTTTTTTATTATTTATTATTTATTATTTTTTTATATATAAATAAACTTCCTCTGTTTGAGTTAAAATAGTTTCAGAAACACAGCTACTAATAGGGGGATGGGGATGGGGCAGTTGGGGAGGGAGGAGTTTACTTTGGCTTAACATAACTAATGGGACAAGATATAACATTTGACATTTCTGAATTTTAAAATGAAAGTTCCAAGTAGAACATTCTGAAGACCTAATTGTGTTGCCTCCTAAACTCCGGGGAACAAATCTGCAACTTTTCTTTTAGTTAATTTACTATTTTTTTCTCCATTGTTAATTTGCTATTTTTTTTTTCTTACTTTGTGGAAGATAAATCCGGATGCTAGCATATTTCGTGATAACCCATTGGAGCTTCTAGCAAAAATGAAGATTTTGTTTGAGAGCCCAAATCAATAAACTCTGAAGAAAAGAGTCCATGAGAAGAACATTTGCAACCTGTGTCATGCTGTTTGTTCGCTGTCAGATAGAGAATCTGTGAGGTTGAGGATTAAAGTTCAGTACAGTGCAATAAGTAGCAAGTAACTCTGGAGCTTATGCAGTTTTTCTTTTCCCCAAGAAATATCTAGATTCTGTTACCTTATTTAATGATCCTAGCTTTTTGGAAACATTGCTTTTCTATGATGTTCATAATACTGTGAACTCTCACTTCTCTGTGGGAAGACTTGAGATAACCTGAAGTCTTACTTTCTTTTACTACTTTTCTGTGTTTCTTTGATGCCAGTTTTCTTTGAAGTGATACATGATGTGGCACATGATTTTGTTACAGTAGATCCGCTGCCATTAGGGAAGGCATCTATTTTCCGATTTCCATTCTTCTGTGCGTCTGTGCTTCCTTTCAATAATGCAGGATAATGAGTGGTTTTTTTTTTTTTTTTTTTGGGGAGAGCTTGATCTCCAGAACACGAATAAACTAGTTAGGGTTGTTAATGGAAAAAATTGGCGAATCTACCGAAAGCTTTACATGCTTCGTCAATCCTACCCTATTCTTTTCGGTTAGCTAATATTACCCTAAATTATCTAACCCTTAGCTGATTTTGTCCAATTTGTTATTTTTCGTCTAAATTAACGGAATTTTATTTGTTTTAATTATAAAAATACCCTAATAGTTTTAAAAATTTATAAAAATAACCTCAAAAATTTACAAAAATTATAAAATAGTCTACTTTCAGTTTTTATTTAAAATTTTCTGTTTTTTATTTCTTTTTATTATTTTTCATAACTATGAAAATATACTATATGATCTTTTAAAAAAAATATTTTATTTTTAAACTTTAATGTACAAATTTTTACTTACATATTTGTATGCCATGTTTGATTTACATATGCATATTAATTTTTTAATAATATGGTTTTACAATAATGATACTATTTTTTAATCCATTTTTTTCAATCTAAAGAATAAGATTATTTAACTAATACTAATTTGTCACAAAAAAATTAAACAATTCGCATAGATTAAAAAAGAATCTATTGGTATACTTTAATGTATTACAATTTAATTCAACTGACTTTAGATTGTATTTTAAAATTTAAAAAGAAATCAAAACTAAAATATAAATTTTTTTAAAAGGCCAAGTACAGACAGAAAGTTAAAAAAAAAAAATACCTATTTCGTTTCTACGTTGGCCCAACACAAGAATATAGTGTCGTGGCATTTACAAAAATGGTACAAAATATCTTATAAAAAATATGTATATTTATTACTGCGAGGGTTTAACATTTTGTGATAATGTTTTGAGAATTAATATATCTAACTTTAGCAGGAAGTCTTTTTTTTTTTTTTAAAATAATTTAAAAAATCTACTCCAGTAATGGACTCCACCTTTTTTTTACATTAAAAAAGAATTAGATTTCTCCAGTGAGAATCGAGCCTCGAACACAGTTTTAATCATCTCATATCTTAAATCACCTAACTATCCAATGTAACCCTCTTACCTTTAGTGGACCCCGCTTAAACATCGGTAAAATCACTCTCCCGGTTAGAAATACTTTGGTGACAATTAATCTTATATCTACTCTCATGAAACTTAACAGCCTAAACACTAGACAGTATCCTATATTTTAATTTAATAATTTTTTTAATTGGATAATACAATCTATAGTCTGTTTAGTTAATTTACAATAAATTAAAATGTACTAATATATATTTTTTTAATCTATGCTAAATGTTTTTGTTTTTTGTAAAAAATTAGTTTTAGTCAAAAAAATCTTATTCTTTAAATTGAAAAAGAAGGATTAAGAGAATAATATCATTGTTGTCTAGCCATATTATTAAAAAAATTAATATGTTTATGTAAATCAATCATGAGTTACAAAATATATATCTATAAATTTGTACTGTAGTGTTTAAAAATAAATTATTTATTTAAAAGATCATATAGTATATTTTTATGATTATAAAAAATAGTAAAAAGAAATAAAAAAAATAAAAATTTAAATAAAAAACTGAAAAGAGACTATTTTGTAATTTTTGTAAATTTTTGAGGTTCTTTTTATAAATTTTTAAAACTATTAGGGTATTTTTATAATTAAAACAAATAAAATTCCGTTAATTTAGACGGAAAATAGCAAATTAGATAAAATCGGCTAACGGTTGAATAGTTTAGGGTAATATTGGCTAACCGAAAAAGAATAGGGTAGAATTAACGACGCATGTAAAAATTTGTGTAGATTGCCAATTTTTCTGTTGTTAATGTCTATGCTAAGTTAGCAGGCGGAACACTTGGTGAATACCATGATGGTATTGCATTTTCCATAGTAGCATCACTGTTCAGCCTTCAGCCTATCAATTCCTCCACTTCATCTAGCCTCAGACTCATAAACTTCTTCCTTCTTGTTGGACCAGAGAGGGCAGTTTAGTAATGAAGTCAATAATGGTTCTTTCCACACGTTTCAAAATCTTTTTAGCTGAATTTCATAGGCAAATTGCCTCCGGGCTTTTTCCCAAAAAAAATTAAATAAAATAAACGTGGACAAATTTAAATTTTTCAGAATATTTGTGGACAGAATTATATTGCTCGGATTTCTGAAATCCGAGTTTCGATTAAAATTAGAGATTCGGATTTTGCAAATCCGGATTCATACTTAATAATAAAATAATAATTTCATAAATTTTGTTGAATAATAGTTTTTTTAGTTCTTAAATGAATATTAAAGCTCGGATTTGCAGAATCCGAGTTTAGTTAAAAATTAATAAATCGCGGCGCGAAATTTTTGAATCCAAAAAACCGGAAGTCCGTAATCCGGTTTGACGAATTCGGATTTTAGAAATCCGGATGCCTTTAATTTTGGTTGGTGGAAGTAGGCATGTGCCTTAAATTGGAGGACCAAAAAATTAATAAAATAATCCTGAACTGACTAAATCCGGATTTATGAAATCCGAATCTAACATTGTTCGGATTTCGAAAATCCGAGTTACTTACGGACTCGGATTTCGTAAATCCGAGTTTAACGTGCTATAAAAGAAAAAAAATTTCAGGCAGTTCTCATTCGAGAACTGAGTTGGATTTTCTGTTTTTGCAGCTCAAACAAGGGCGAATTGAAGTTTTTGATGCATTCTTGCCTCTAGATACGTGGAAATCGTTATTTGAAAGAGGTTAGATTGCAAAACCATGTTATTTAGTTTATTTTTGTGTTATTTTGATTGTTAGAATGATGTATGATAGATTAGGGTTTATGTTGGTTGGTTGTTTGGATGTTTTAGGTGTTGATTTTGAGGTTAGAGATGAGAAATCATAGTTGTTCATGAGATATCGAAGTTGATTTATAAGTATTTTCGTACGGTGTATTTGTTGGAGTATGTATGGTGTATGGTGTATGGTGTATTTTAGAGAATGTATGGTGTATTTTGTTGATTTTGTTATTAAGAAATGATTAGTTATTGATGTTTTTTAACGATTATCAATGGCACGTAATGTATCATACATGCTTAATTTGTATCATACAAGTAAGTATGTGATAGAAAACGGTAGCATCAACACTTTTTCGAATATGCCGGATGATGGTTTGTTTGTCGAAGAAAGGTTGTCATATGAGGGATTGATTAGTAAGATTTGTATGACCCTTGGTTGGGATCCAGCACACGTGAAACTCCACCTTTCTTTGATTTTCGATAGTCTCGGTGGTAGGCGTGTAGTGAAGATCAAGAATGATTCGCATGTAGAGTTCATGAACCGTGTAGATCCAATGTCATGTTTGGATTTATACATAGATTTGGAAGATATCACTCAAGAAGAAAAGAGAAGCGAGTTTGGAAAACGTGTCATTTGGTGATTTTCGAAGGGGGAAATGTGCTAGTACTTCTCGAAACCGTGATGAAGAGGAGACACCTTTATTTGCACAAAATGACTACCGGAAAGAGTCGGATTCCGACTACATAGCTCCAAGTGAAAGCGAAGAAGACTGTGATGTCTTCGGAGAGAGTGATTTTGAAGAAAGTGATGATGAAAGGTTGGAAAATGAGGAAAGGGATTGTAATCTATTCGCCCGACGCCATGTATATAGTAAGATGGGGAACTGGGATGCCTCATGTGTAGACAAGGATGAGTTTGCTCTTAAGATGTGGGATGAGATGCCCGAAGGAATGGACATTGGTGTTTGTTTCAAATCTCAATCAGAAGCAAAGCATGCTGTGAAATTATGGAACATCCATCATAAAAGGGAATATACGGTCGCCGCGAGTAGTCCAAGGACGTGGGCTGTGCGGTGCAGAACATTTAATGTGGAAATTGAGGATGGTGAACCACCATGTGAGTGGAAGACGCGTGTGCCATTGAAAGCTCACGGCCTTCATGAAATTGTGAGATGGCATGATGCACATAATTGCATGACTCCTGTGAATGATAATGACAATCGGTGTGTGGACGCGTCTTTGATTGCTAGACTCATCAGGAGAAAGGTTGAGGACAACGTAGATTATACGGTAGCCTCGACACCGAAAGATGTGAAGACCTTATTGAAAGTAGATGTGCCATACAAAAGGGTGTGGCACGGGAGGAGGAAAGCCATAGAAGCGGTCTATGGTGATTGGACCTCCAATTTCGAAGAACTTCCACGGTAAATATCAACTTTTATCCGTGTATTGAAATATTTATAGTATTTTTATTTTTACATGTATTGAAATATTTTAACAATGACTTGTCGTTGTTTAGGTATATCACTGCGCTTAAGTTTACTAATCCTGAGACTGTAGTAGAGTGTGAATGGAAGGAGGGACAAGAAGGTTGGAACAGGGGAAACCGGACATTTAAACACGTCTTCTGGTCATTTGCACCGGTGGCTGAGACGTTTTTTGAATGTCCACCGGTCATTTGTATCGATGGAACCTTTTTGCGTGGTGGATACAAGGGTAAATTGCTTGTTGCGGTGGTGTATACCGCAAACAAGCACATTTTACCGGTTGCATTTGCGATTGTTGATGAGGAGACAGTAGAGAGTTGGACATTTTTTATGAGGAATTTGAGGTTGTGGGTTGTGTATGATAGAATCGTAAGTGTGATATCCGACCGGAATGCAGGGTTGTTGAGCGCAATGTCACAGATGGATGAATGGCGTGATTTAGGTGATGGTGGGCACTTTCTTTGCCTCCGCCACGTTCGCAGCAATCTTGTGTCGCGATATAATAGCAAAAAGGTGAAGCGGTTATGTTGGAAGATGGTCACGACGCTTTCAAGAGTGAAATACAACCGTATGAGGGTAGAGCTTATTGAATTCAAACCTGCTGCATGGGAGTATCTTCGAGGGATTGGAGGGAGTAACTGGGCTCGAGTGAAAGCCGGTCTTCGCCGTTGGGGCATAGCGACAACCAACAGTTCTGAGAGTTACAACAATGCGTTGAAAAGGATCCGTTTTTTACCAAT